TGAATCGGCTGAGTTACTTCCTTCCTTGCAACAAGATTTGGTATTCTACGTAAGTTTATTTCTACTTCAGTTCCAGGCTTTTCTCCAAAAGTATCATTGTTGGTAATAGCTGATGACTCCTGAAATATGACATCTCATCTAGTATTAGCCTATGTTTGTTGTTGCCGTTGCTTAGAAGACGGTACCCATCATCACCATCATACCCGATTAATAAACATTTCTCCGATTTCTTGTCCATTTTGTTTCGCTTTTGTTTGGGTACATGAGCGTAACAAGTGCTTCCAATTATACGCAAATGTTTAATCTGTGGCTTTTTGTTGAACCATAGTTCATATGGTGATTTTCCATCTGCTGGAGTACGTCCGGTCCTGTTAAGCACATATGTGGCAGTATTTATTAGCTCTGCCCAGCATGCAACTGGCAACTCACTATGTGCATACATCATTGCTCGTGCGGCTTCAACAAGTGTCCGATTCTCCCTCACGCTGCACCCATTTTGCTGTGGTGTATATGGCATGATCAATCTTTGCTTGATGCCATATTTCTGCAGTATTGATTGGGTTTTTGCATTATCGTACTCTCCACCATTGTCGCTTAAGAGTTCTTTTATTATATGACCAGCTACCTTACTTTCGTTTAAGATTAATTGAAGCTTTGAGTGGACTTCAGATTTGTGTTTCATGAAGTAAACATATCGGTATTTGCTGAAATCATCTTTGAAAAGAACAAAATAACGATAGCCTTTGTATGAGTATGGAAAGGGTCCAAACACGTCCGAGTTCATAATTTCACCTGGCAACTTTGCTCTATCACGAGTTCCGAAAGTTTGCCTGGTCATTTTCCCGAAACTGCAACCTTCACAAAATTAAGACGAGCTGTTAAGAACCTTTATACCAAGTTCTCTTTCTACAACCTTTTTAACATGAGACTTGCTTTGATGTGCTAGCCTTTCATGAAATATCTGCAATGAATCATGCCTTGTCAAAGTATTAACTTCAAATGGTAAAGGTGGCATTACATTCTTCACATTAAGTTTGAACAGACCTCCTCTTTTCTTCCGTGCACCTGTGACTTTGATTACGCCTTTTGTTTTCAATTTACAGGATTCAGGTTCAGATTCAAATAAGCTTTGTGGTAATCTGTCTTGCGCTGCTAATAACGAGAACAGATTTTTCTGTAGTGACGGCACACACCATACATCCCATAGGGTTATCATACCTTTATTACTACCAACTGTGGCTTCCAGCCGTATGTCACCTTTACCAGTGGCATTAACCTTTTCACCACTCGCCGTTGTTACAGTATGCTGCGATCTAAAGCTTTCTAATGTATGGAACAAATCCCTTCTGAATGTGACATGACTTGTTGCTCCACTGTCCAGATACCAGCTGTCTTTGTCATTGTATAAGCACTCGCCGTTTGCAGCCATCATTTGATCTGTAACATTCACATTCTTTGCGTTTTGTTGCTTTGGTGGTCTTCCATCACTCATTCACTTAGCGCATTTTCTTACTTTGTGACCTCGTTGCCCACAGTATTTGCACTTTATATGCTTATTCCTTCCTTTCTCAAAAGGAGCATTCACTGCTAGAGCTTGGTTACTCTCGTTTGACGACGACGTTGCGGGTTGTGACAGAATATTTCGTTCAAATGCACAGAGTTGTGACGTTAGTCTTTCTATAGTCCTTTCCTTTTTATTAGCCATGAGAAGCCAACTGGATTTAAAATTCATATATACATCAGGCAAAGTGTCTAGGATCTTGCAAATAAGTACTATTTCTGGCAATTCCTGGTTCCTTTCTTGCTTTATAATTTCTTTGTTCAGATTGAACCAAATATGTTTTACCTTCGATAAATGAATGCTCATATTGTCTTCAGGTTCTTTCTTATACTCAAAGAATTTCAGACAACTTTCATAGACCAGATCTTCTCCATCTCCATCAAATAGTCTTTTAAGTTCATCCCACACTTCTTTCGATGTTTCAAATCTCATAATTCTTTGGACTATTTGGTCTTCCATATTGCTCGTAAGGATTACAAGTAGCATGCTATCCAGTTCTAAGAATTTTTCCTTAGCTTGAACAGAGTCAGTGTTTGACGCATCATTCTCTAGAACCGGCATCGTGTATGTTCCTTCAAGTTAGTCTAATGCTTTTGGAATACCTTTCATTAACATACTTATCTTGTACTTCGACCAGACCAGACCGACCAGTTGGTACCATCCAAGTATCCTATGTGGAATTTTGTAATTTCTGGTTTGGTTGCCATGATTACTTTTCTTCACAATTCTCAGAATACTTTTCCGTATCACGAACCTATACTATGCGAAGGCATTCTTTCCTTGCGGGGAGAGTGCCTTCGGTGTTGTGAGAAAGATTGAAATGGATAGAATAGCTGCACAGATCTTCATCGGGCATGGAGGTTTCTCCACCTACCTCCATAGGTTTAAAAAGAAGGTCACCCCGAGATGCGTATGTGACCCAGACACCGAAGAGGACATTTTTCATGTCCTCTTAGAATACCCCCTTTACAACAGAGAAAGACACGACGTACAAACAGCATTACACACAAAACTTAGAAAGGAAAACCTAAGGGAAATTATGGTAGAAAATAAAGATAGGGAAACATTTATTAAATTTAGCAAGAGTATAGTAAGAAGGGTCATAGAAAGAAATAAAGATGATTAACATAGGTAAATTACCTATAACTATATACACTGTAAATACGTACGTGAAAGCCAAATGGGATATAGAAACAATAAGAAACCCGAAAAGGGAACAATGTAAAACAGAAGATGGAATATATAAAATATGTATAAGGCAAACTATAAAAGATAAGAAAATACTGTAATAGATAATAAAGATAGAAATAGTAAATCAGTGTGTGTAAATAAGTTAAATATATGAAAATGTAATTACAAAACAAGAGAATAAACATATATTAGTAAGTAAGAATATTGTAAAGAATAAAAAAGAAAGAAATGTGCAAAAGAAACGCACAAACATGCAAAAGAGCAAGCATGACATAAAAACTCTAAAAATAGTAACAGACAAAACAAAAAAGAAAAACAAAGACCTGATACAAATCGGGGATACCGCTTAAAAAATAACCTATACTATGCTACCATATTAAGCTAAAAGAAATCTACATTATAATAAAACTAATATTCAATTATCAGTCATCTAGTCTTTTTATTTATTCTATATGTCAAGCTTCTTCCTTTTTCATATATGACACAAAACCATGGATACACCAACCGCAACAAAATCATGTCCTTTTTATTATAAACTCAGATAAGTTATTTTCTACGTGCTTACGAGGTTTTGTTTACTACCGTTGACATCATAGCATAGACAATCTATAGACTAAAATGGCCGACAGCGTTTTTGTATGTCCTTGAAAATTCTATTTTAAAATTAAAGATTTGTAGCTTTCTAGGTGTCAAAAAAATACAATACATTTTTTTTCGGTCTAATAGAACTTTTATTAACCATTTAAAACCTTTTTCTAAATAGGGTCAACTAGCCTATTACCTATTTTACTTGAATGAACTGCTAGTATCAAAATCATTTTGGTCAGACTGTATAGGGTTGCTACATGCATACTAGTGGCGCCATCATTTAATGTCACCACTTTATAGACAAACTGTACGATACTTTTAAAGGGTCGTTATACCATTAAAAAAACCTGCTTATTATAATTCCCAAAAAGTCATAGTCATCCTATTAGAAAGGAATAAATCCTTCTTGTTTTATCTCTCATCAGGAAAAATACGCGGTCCTGTTTGTATACTACGTCCATAGTACAAATATAGTACAGCATGGTGTGAATTCACCTTAATTTCCTAGAAATGACAATGGAACATTGGAAATGCATAGGTGACATGTCAATGTGTGTGAAGATGAAGACCGTGTGCTGTGCACTGCGCATTAGAGATGGGCGTTTTTAGATATGTTTGATATCGATGCGCATCGATATCAGATAAATCGCATCGGATGCCCGCATCGATGCCGGCATCGCATCGATGTCAACTGAATGTCGATATCTTGTATCACAGGATACGATGCATGAATTTCTACAGATGCGTGTTTTGTGTGGGTGTGTCTCTTCGATTCCTTGAATCAGGACTTGAAAATGTATTCGAAAACCATTTATTTACTTTTCGGTATGTTATCTGAAAATATTGAATGCTGGCAAAATTATTACATAAAAAATTTCACTCAGAGCGTAGGTTTTGAACGCAGGCAGGATGCCAGGTTTGGATGCGACTGGATGCCGTTAAGTGTCCCATCCCCAACTTTCGTGTTTGTGTACAATTGCATAAAAATTGTTAAGGCGCCCCCCCACCGGGAGCATTCGCGTGTAATGTAACAGAGTCAAGCATTATATCAGTGAGTGAGGAGAACTGAGCATTACAGTGCATAAACTGTAATGATACAAAATGAGTTTACATCAGTGAAGGACGAGAACCGAGCATTACAATGCGCACCCTGTAATGACACAATATGTAATATTTTGATACAAGATGTAACATCAATGCGTTTTTTTGTTGTGTCTGGCCGGCCGCCGCAGAATCATTACAAATGTTACATTAAACACGAATGCTCGTCAGTCAGGGAGGTAGTATTGTAATGTAATGCTCAAAGTTGAATCTATAATGTTACATTACACGCGAACGCTCGTCGGTCAGGGAAGTAGTATTGTAAGGGTGCGGCCAGAGTGCACTCAGATTCAGATTCAGATTCCGAAAACAAGCGCGAGAAATAAACAGTGTAGTCGAAGGGTACGGCCAGAGTGCACTCCTGATTCAGATTCAGATTCAGACTCAGAAAACAAAGCGCGAGAAAAAGCAGGCAACCTGCTTAGACTACACTGTTTATTTCTCGCGCTTGTTTTCAGAATCTGAATCTGAATCTGAGTGCACTCTGGCCGCACCCTAATGTAATGCTCAAAGTCGAATCTATATGTTACATTGCACGCGAATGCTCAAAGTGAGGGAGCGCCTTTAGAGTGTGAGCGTTTTTTTAATAGTGTGACGTGATTTTTGAAGTGTGCGTTTATAGCAACAACACGCTCGTGTTTGTGGGAGTATTGCATATTTTAGTAAGTCTGTTACACGTGTGTACCTCGTCCCCTTCTAAAAATGGCGAAAAATATTCAGCGAGTGAATGATATGGCTTCTCCATAGGAATAAATATGCTCTAAGCTTGCAGTGCAACTCAGGGTTGCCAACCATACCAACGGTGCCAACGAGGTACGAGAATACTACACATATTTACGAGATTTTTTCAGATAAATTTATAACATGATTTTTCATTGTAGGCAACATGTTGGAGCACAAACCTTAATGTAATGGGGGTGCAAATCATGTACGAGGTTAGAAAGCAAGATTACGAGATTTTTAGCTGCAGAAGTACGAGGAAAAAAGTTCTATGGTTGGCAATCTTGGTGCACTTTTCCTTCACTCACTCTGACGTTTGCACTTGGAGTGTAGGTTTGGAACGTAGCTATGCACCCCTGTCGACAACATGGCTGGTTGTGGTTGCGTATCTTTCAAAATCCGTTCATTTGTATAGGTTAGCGTTTAAGTTAGTATTTGTATGTATTTTGAATAAGAATTTGTGGTTTAGTAATGTTTGTTTGTGTAAAGTGGCGACAATTTGGATAATGTTATAGCGAATCTATTGTCTTCGAAAAGGTAAGACTAAATTTCACTCTGCTAACTAACTTTTAATACATTATTTCATTATTGTAATCGTAGTATTTCTTCAATTAGGTATACAACTCGTTAATGATGGATTTCGGGCACCCTCCTCCGAATATGGGCATGCCCCCGCCCGGTATGGGTGGTCCCATGGGTCCACCCATTCGTAACAACATGCGCCATAATTTTAGGCCTTTCAGCTACCAGATGCGATTCCCACCTCAAGGTCCGCTGAATATGACTCAGGATGATTTTGATGGTAAACGCTTGCGTAAATCAGTTATGCGTAAAACTGTCGACTATAATGCCGCGATTATCAAAGCTTTAGAATGTCGTGTTTGGCAGCGCGATTGGCGGGATAGGCATGCACTTCAGCCGGACGCTATGTACACTCCAGATCTGTTACCGCCACCTTCTTACCCTGATAATCCTATCAATGCTGTAACCACGCGTTTTGTTAAAACTGCCACAAACAAAATGAGATGTCCTATATTTGCTGTGGCTTGGACACCAGAAGGTCGCAGGTTAATTACTGGTGCATCTTCAGGAGAATTCACATTATGGAATGGCTTAACTTTTAATTTTGAGACTATTCTTCAAGCACATGATTCACCCGTGAGGTCAATGGTTTGGTCTCATGGTGAAGGTTGGATGGTCACTGGAGACCATTCAGGTTTTATTAAGTATTGGCAGAGCAACATGAATAATGTTAAAATGTACCAAGCTCACAAGGAAGCTGTGAGAGGTATTAGCTTCAGTCCCAGTGATTCAAAGATTGTTACATGTTCTGATGATGGTACATTACGCATATTTGATTTTTATCGATGCCAAGAAGAAAGGATATTAAGAGGTCATGGTGCAGATGTCAAATGTGTACAATGGCATCCAACCAAGGCTCTTATAGTTTCTGGCAGCAAGGATAACCAACAACCTATTAAACTTTGGGATCCTAAATCTGGCACAGCATTATCAACATTACATGCTCATAAGTCTACTGTTATGGACTTGAAATGGAATGAAAATGGAAACTGGTTGATTACTGCATCTCGAGATCATTTGCTGAAACTATTTGATATTCGTAAGCTTGGTACAGAACTACAAATATTCAGAGGGCATAAAAAAGAGGCATCAAGTGTGGTTTGGCATCCCACCCATGAAGGACTGTTTTGCTCTGGAGGTTCCGATGGTGCAATTTTGTTTTGGAATGTTGGCACTGACAAAGAAGTTGGATGTATTGAAGGAGCACATGAATCAATTGTATGGACAATGGCATGGCATCCCCTTGGGCATATATTATGCTCAGGCTCAAATGACCACACATCAAAATTCTGGACACGCAATCGGCCTGGTGATCTTATGAGAGACAAATATAATCTCAATACTTTGCCACCTGGTGTCCAAGATGATCATGATTTGGATGAACCTGCTATTATACCAGGAATGGGCCCTGAAGATAAAGTAGAAATATTCTCTTTTGATACTGATAAAGTTATACCTGGTCTTGATTTGGACACAGCATTTATTCCTATGGACTTTGAAAAGAAAGTTAAAAAAGTACCATATAGCAAACCTATTCCAAGAAACTTTCAAGCCCAATGGAATCATGGTCCTACAGCTGATGAAGCTACAACAGAAGCTCTGACTCAGGCATTAGTAGAGTCTGTTCCTGGGGCTGTACCTCTCAATATGATTTCACCAACTGCTATATTCATCTATGGTAGGTTGATATTAGTTGAACCAGGATCAAAACTAGAAAAAGCTATAACTGATGGTCCTACTGCACTGAAAAAATATATTGCTACTGGTGAAATACAACAATTGCATGATATAATGCCTCATCTGGAAGAAGATGCAGATGATGAGAATTTCACACCATTTGAGTATCCTGAGCCAGAAATTGATCCTGATGATAATTCTGAAAGGGATAATAATGATGAAGATAGAAATTATGATCAAGAGAATGATTATTATAACAATGATATGGATCAAAATGACCAAGATGATACAAATTATAATAATGATCCTGATGTGAATAATATGGGACCAATGAATAATATGCCTCCAATGAACAATATGGTAAGACCTCTCATGGGGATGGGTAACCTGGGTCCAATAGGTCCACCAATGCGGCCTATGGGTCCAATGCACCTAGGTAACATGCCTCCAATGGGCAACATGCCCCCTATGGGTAATATGCCACCAATGGGTCCCAATATGAATAATATGCCACTTTTGGGTAATATGCCACCACGCCCACCTTTCTCTGACAATGGATATAATAAAGGTCACTTTGACTCTGGCTATGATAATCAACAATATCAACAAGGTAATGATGAGTTTAATGATGATGAGTCGTTCAACCAGAGTTATGAGGAGGATAATTATAATGATGAAGGCAATGGAGATGAAGGATACTCCCGAAACCAGAGATGGGATGGTGGTTACAGAGGTCGAGGAAGGGGTCGTGGGCGCGGTATGAACGGACATGGTGGGCGTGGCAATTGGAGGGGTAATAATGGGCCCCGAGGATCTCCATGGAGGGGTAGAGGCGGCGGAGCGAACAGAAGTTTTAGAAGAGGTGGTAAACAAACATCAAATTAGCTCAAGTATGTCTCCATCTGTTTTGCATGCACATACTATAAAGCATTTTATTTTAAAAAAGACATTGAGTGTTATGTTGTGGTTAAGTGTAAAGACAATAACTATGTTGGAGTTACAAAAGGTGTACATATTTTCTTTTACAGCTTGTACCTCTATGATTTCATAAGCTGAACACAATAAATTTGTATTACATCTCAGGAATGTTATTAAAAATTTTCTACAGGTACTATCTATTCCTTATTTTTTTAAAGGAGTAACTTGGTAAGTTGATTTCTATTGAATCTTTTATTTAATTGTTAAGGCTTTTAGTAATTGGAACATGTTATAACACCAGGTAATCTCACAAAGAAAACCAGTCAGGAGGTGCTTTGTACGAATGCACCGAGGGGAGTCATTTCGCTTCAGCTTCGTCTGTCGACAGCATTAACAGAAAAAAACTCGTCAAGTTATCCAGTCAACATCTTCAACGACGTTATAGTAAGAAACCGGTATTTATTGAATTTGTTTTGTCAATAATAAAGAAATAAACATAATTTGTGCCAATAAAATTTACCTATTCTAATATTAAATGTAAGATTTTAAATAAAGTACCAACAATGTCTAAGGCGTATCCTCTCCTTTAATTTGATAATAACCAGAGCATACATACAATATAATTATAACAGTTCCACTTTTTGCATATATTTATTTGAAAATTTAAATCTCATATCTATATAATATGTTACAGCTTAGTATTTGAATTCATTTGTAAGAAATACGACATTACTCTCAGTAAATTCGATTTTATATATGATTGAATAAATGTCAGCTTTAGGGGCTCACAATCACATATTTTTGAAAATTAGCCAGACAAATGATAATTAAGAATAATAAGTATGCAATGAAAAATGAAAATCACTTCAGTACTTTAACAATGGCTGTGATTTATTCTAAGGTCATAAAAGCCCACTAATTGATGTATGTTTGTACATGTATTAGTCAAGCAACTACAAAAGGGTGAGCAGTTTTTCTATTTTTGTTTAATTATAGACCTAAGGGCCTAACGGAATTGCTTTGGTGAACGCTATCGCTTACGATTTCATTTTGTTATTTCTGACCACCGATGGTTTTCAAATACCTCACGCTCATTTTCTTTAATATTGTTTTTAACAATGCAAAAGACAAAAAAAAGAGCGCGAGGCTTTTGGAAACCTCAGGTGGCTAGAAATAACAAAATGAAATCGTAAGCGATAGCGTTTTCCAAAGCAATCTGGTTAGGCGATTGGCCCCCAGGGCGTATGCCTTTGAAGATGATAAAAAGTGTAAAAAATAAACAATGGGATGAAAAAAATTTCAAAAGGAAGAAAATACATTTAAAAAAGAGGATATATAATTTACGAGTTATTTTAGTTTCATTCACGTTATTTTTTGTTTTTGGGAATCCCTCAGGAACCCAAAATTTTTTTGGGATAAAAAGTCAAGATAGCCTAGTCTAAAGATAGAAATCCTAAGTTTTTGCGTGATTGAGTCACAAACAAACTAAATCACATAACGCATTTATCATATTAATTAGGATTCAGATAGGTATTCGTACCAAGTTTTAAGTCTTTTAGTCTCAAAGAATAAGATTTCCTAAATTATCGCATTTTTTCTCTTTTAGGGGTGAATTTAGATAAACCCTGATCCATTTTATTCTTTTTTTCTGGTCTTTAGTATATTTATAATGTTTCGATCAAGTCGAAATGTGCGTTAAAATTCATCTATAAAAAACCTTGGACACCCTCCTAATCCACATTTAAGGGGGTTTTTCGGAAAATTAAAAATGACAAACTTTGTAATCTATTTAGATAAGTATTCGTGCCAAATTTTAGAACTCAGGGAATAAAAAAAAACATATAAACTTTCATCCTCTATTATAAACTCTTGGGGGTTGAATTTTGGAAAATCCTTTTTAGTGCACCCCTAGACGTCATAAGAAACTTCCGTTTTTGTAATTTGTGTCAAAACGGGCATTATACTGTCCCGCGACTATAGGTATTCATTCAGTAGTTTTCAAGATATAAGATATTAATGATTTTACAGTGCAATTTCTTTATAATTGGCTTAAAAATAAACACAAAAAATTTATGAAAAAAAAATATAGAAATTGCATGAAAAATGTTTACTCCAAGGAAAGAAATAATATTTTATTTCATGTTTTCACACCCACCAATCTTAAAAAAAAACACTTTTTGAATGTGTTGAAGAGCAGCAGTTTTTAATTATTTTTACATCATTCTTTTTTTACCTTTACAGGTACCGTGTTCACAAGATAATTTTTAAATAATTAAACCAAATTGTTTGTCAGATTGTCTAATGATCTTTTTAATAAAAATATAAATTAATTTATACTTGAGGAATAATTTACTGTATGTAATTTTTGTGTTTAATTTATTTAACTCAAAGGGACCAAAACATCAAGTGTAACATATTAAAGAAGAAACTGCTTTTTCATATGTTCAAAAATTTATTTAATTAATGAAAAAAATAATGTTTATGAGATCAGTGCCTGCACAATCACGTGGAAAATATTTAAAAATCATTTTGTGGAAGTAGGCTCAAAAATATAGTTTCTTTCTTGTCGTTGAGTCGGTTTATATTTCAGTCAGTGGATTTTTTAAATATTTTACTTTTTCATCATGCAAAGATAAGATTCAGTATGCCGGTTGTTACCTTAACCTTTGATACATCCTCACGCCTTGGACAATGTAACGATATCATCGGCATGGATTCATGGTCACATAATTTACAACAGAAATATAATAAATGCTGATGAATGGAAGTGAAAACATAAAACCACTATGTAGACCAAATAAATTTATGAAATTTTAAAGGGTTTCATTTGATATTGCCTTTTACCTATTCAATAAAGAATAATTTGAAAATCAAATGTAGTTTTCATTTTTTTATTTTTGTTTTTTACCCTTTTTGGCCATAATGATCCATTAGTAACCGCCATTCTCTTTTGTTACAGATGAACCATTTCCAATGCTTGCTTTGGGTAATAACAATACTGGCATGTCAAGCGACCCAACTTAACACGGGTGGAGAAAAAAATTCAATCGTCATCGAAAATGTAACCGAGAGTCTTGAAGCCATTAATGGGACTCCCAACTACAGATTGATAAAACCTAATAGAGCGACACCATGGTATCCAGAACGGGAAATAAAACTGGACAGTTGTGTGAGGAAAGCCCGTTGCGAACCTCTGGAGAAAACCACTTGTTTGGGCGCCAAGCTTTCTTATGATAGTACTAGTGTCTTGCTCACTTTTTATGAAACACAGAATCAGATTCAAACTCAATTAGAATTATACAAAGAATTGATTAATGTGCCAAAATGTTGGGCGGTCATACAACCACTACTTTGCGCGACATTCATGCCCAAATGCGAGAAAATACTCGGGCGAGACATGGTCTACTTACCCTCTTATGAAATGTGCAAAATAACAATGGAACCCTGCTCTATACTGTACAACACTTCGTACTTTCCGTCCTTTTTAAAATGCAACTCAACTTTATTCCCACCGAGATGTGACAATGCTGGAAGGGAGATGAAATTCAATACTACTGGAAAATGTTTGCCGCCTCTCATACACACAAATAAGCCGCTGCACTTTTACGAAGGTAACCATAATCAGGGGCTTATTTTGAAATCAGGCGCCTTTGCCACTTGAGAGTCGCACTTCCCCTCCTAGAATTAGTAAAATCAAAATATAGCCCAGCGGCTATTGCTTTTATATGGGTCTTGGCCCATGGTAACAGTGCGGATTGGTGAGTGCTGAGACTGCTGTTGTAGCCGGGACTAACGGCTTAACGTACCTTCCGAAGCACGGAGCAGCTCAAGAAAGTTAATGCTTGGCCAGCTATCCAATAACCGGACATTGGGATAGTTACTCATCTTTCATGATCAAAAACCGAACGCGTTAGTTACTAATGCCAATAAGCTCCTCAAGTGCGTATTTACAAATCTGGTGCATCGCCTGGGAATTTACGATATTCAACCCCTAAAATTATTGAATCAAGTCAAAATATCGTAGTACAGTCGCTCCCGCGGGGTTTGCCACTGGAGGCAATTGGGATTAAAAAACAGAATGTTTATTCTCAGTCGCCCCCGCGAGAATTACCACCCGAGGCAAATGTGAATAAAAAATACAGGTGGGGGCAACGACTTCATTCCCATTTGCCTCTGGTGGCGATCGCTTGGGGGTGACTGGGAATAAATGGGAACTATGTCAGTAACGAATGCCTTTATAAAGCTTCTCTCGTCAGTTGCCTGCCAGCCTAGTCCCCGTAGCATGAGCATCATAATTTACATTATCATATCGCGGTGCTCATGCTAGGGGGGCAGGTCATGGCACATTTGGCCGTAGGGTCAATACGCCTCTGGCTGGAGGTCCTCATTTGTTTTGTTTTGCAGGTATATCAGGCTGCGGTCTGCCTTGCCGCGACCCCCTGTACACTGAGGATGAACACCAGCAGATCCACCGACTGGTAGGGTGGGGCGCTGGCGTCTGCCTTGCCCTCAATCTGCTTACTGTAGCCACATTCCTCATAGACTGGCGTAGTGCAAATAAATACCCAGCCCTAGTTATATTTTACATCAACGTTTGCTTCGCGGTTGCGTCCATGGGGTGAGTTGATCGACGCTTTCACTTCAACATTTGAATGTATAATTTAAATTTGACTACCTCCGTGGCCAAGTGGTATGTACGACGGGTTTCAAGGTGTCGCCTACTCAGAGGTCTCGGGTTTGAATCCTGGTGGGGGCAGATGTTGTATGACGAGTACGAGCATCTCTAAATCATGGATGTTTTTTATGTATTTCTATATAAATCTACATATTTAAACGGCGTCCCACGGCTACCTCACACGGAGGGAAAGTATATTAAATATTGAAAATAGGATATTTTACTGAAATTAGACATCATTTTATTTTAAGTAATAACTAGAACTGCATGAACAGATTTTTTTTAAATCGCCTACTACAACTGGGAATCAAACTCGTGAAATTTCGAAAAAAAACAACATATTTTATGATAAAGAAAGGGTTAATCATAAGAATATTTTTTTGCTAAATAACATAGCATTTTAAATGAAAGAAAAGTAATTAAATTTAACATTTTATTCAAAATTATTTAACACGAACTAATATAAAATCGGATACGCCTCAAAGTAAGTTAAAATGTTGAGTTCATCATCGTTGACGTTTATTATCCGCTGCTGTGGTTTCTGTAAGCGCATATCAAAACGTCCTAAATATCTTAAACTATCCACTAACCTTTTAAATAAATATTGAGAAGGTCGTCTCTATCAGGATATCTTTCGCGGCACCACCGCAAAGCTAATATGTCTTTATGGTTCATAAAGTAAGCTTCCATTAAATCCATTTAATTTTGATAAATTAACAAATAAATTGCAAATAAACGAAAATGAAACACAAAAAATAAAAGAACAGAAAAGGACATTGTTCAGCGTCTATACATAGTTAGCCTAAGAACCAACAATCATGAAATATTATTTTCTAGGTTCAAAATCGTAAGTAAATGACTGTAAAAACAAAGATTATTGACGGACACTTCTGAGAACTTAAATTATTAGGAAAACTAAAATTTTTTTGAGGTTATGTTTAATATTCAATGAAACATAGGTCAACTTATGAATTTAGTATGAACTCAGTATGAAGTGAATTGATATTACAACTAATTCATTTTATTCGGTGCGATTTTAAAAAATATCTTTTAGGAAAAACTTGAAACTTTATAGAATCATGAATAAAATAAAAACTGTACTGCCCGCCGGGCACCTGCGGCACGCCTAAGGCGCTTTGCATACGGCGGGGCAGAGCGGGCCGGTCAATTTCGCCGCGAACGATAGCACAAAGTGAATCCTATACTACAAACGCACACAGAGGGCAAAAAGACCGCCGCAGCTGCCCGGCGGGCAGTGGCGGCGCGGCATGTCCGCGGCTGCCCGCCGTTGATCATACAAACCAGTTTATATGCAGTAACGCAGACGGCGGCGCGGGGCGGCTAGCTCAGTCCGCGCCACGCGCTTTTTAGTGATGGACTATACACCAGAACGAACGTCCTGAACTGACTGCCTCTGCCCGTCGTGTGCTTTGTGTACGCGGCGAGGGCAGCCGCAGACATCGACGGGCAGACGCGGTTTTTATTGCTTCGCGGACAAAAAGCCCGCCCCGCCCCGTCGTCTGCAAAGCGCCTAACACAAGACTACAGTGCTTACTGGGTCTAGACTAATTGGTGTAAGTGTTAGAAATATGCATTTATATACAGGCTCGATCTTGACCATTTTTTTTCCTGGAACAAATATTAATGTTTAGGTTTGAAGTTTTAGTTTACTAGATTCTTTGGTGAAAAACCACCATTACGACATAATGTAAACGATCCATATAGCTTACAAAGCCCTATTATGTCTATTAAATGGTATATAAATAACTACATTATTATAAAACAATGTTATAATGTTATATAATGTTTTATGGAATAATAGCCGAGATCATTTTTATTTCATTGTTTCATGATCAAACAACAATTGAATTACTATGTAGTATTATTTGTTACATATTTTTTTTAATCTGTTTGACATTGAGCAATGAGGCCGTTTTAAAAATCAGCCTAGTTTGGTCTTTCTTTGTGATTCTAAATCACATTATCAGACCGGCAATGTCGAAAATGTCTTGTAATTACAAAATCCTTTATTTTTTTTGGGAAAATATTAATTTGTTTTTGTTTCAGATGGCTTGTTCAGTTCGGTGTAGGATCTAGGGATGACATAGTTTGTTCGAAAGATGGGACCAGACGCCAAGGCGAACCTTCGGCCGAGGAGAACTTGTCGTGTGTCGTCGTTTTCGTATTAGTGAGTATTTTTTAAAATCTCACTGAGGACGAACTATGTTTTTGGTAGACACAAGTCGTCGACAGATGTTAGTAAATAATTCGGAATACTCACAAAATGAGGAGAGATGTTAGAGGGTGGCAAGCGGAGCTCTTGTTAAGTGTGTGTATGATAGGGTTATTATTATCATAAATATATCCATTTGTTGATTGGGTGACTAAAAATTTATCATGTTATTCTATAATGTTCAGTTTACAATTTTAGGCACACTTTTAGGATTTTATTTTATTTTAACATTTAATGTCGTTTTCGTTGCAGGTTTACTACTTTATGATGGCAGCTTGTGTCTGGTTCGTCATATTCACGTATGCGTGGCATATGAGTTTTCGAGCATTAGGTAAATTCATTTGCTAATTATAATCCTTCATGCAATTAAAAAAAATATTATCATTTAATGTTAACCAACAAGTCCATATTAAAATCGACGGGTGAGCATCTAGCTAACGTAATTCATATCTGGAGTGAGGCCATAGCCTGGTTAAAACTAATTCGCTCCGTTTGTCTATGAACAAACAGAGCCTTGACTTTTAACAGGGTTTATACAAAAGGCGTCTTTTCAAGCTTACTGTCTTTGTTAGTTCTGGGGGTCTAAGGCCCGTATTAATAGATCGTTTTCAACTCTGAGAGCAATCTTGATTACGATCTTAAGACCCTGCATTGTATGAAAACAGTATTTTAAAATTGAAGTCTCAGGCTCGTATTACAGAATGACAGCCAAGTTCTGATCCCCACTTGAGCACAGTTAGAAAGGGATGTCAATATTTGCTATACAGAGCGACATCCCTTTCTAACTGTAATCAAATAAAGATCAACACTTAGTTGTTATTCTGTAATACGGGCCTTAGGGTGCGGCCAGAGTGCACTCAGATTCAGACTCAGATTCAGATTTCGAAAACAAGCGCGAGAAATAAACAGTGTAGTCTAAGCAGGTTGCTTGCTTTTTCTCGCGCTTTGTTTTCTGAGTCTGAATCTGAATCTGAATCAGGAGTGCAATCTGGCCGTACCCTTCGACTACACTGTTTATTTCTCGCGCTTGTTTTCAGAATCTGAATCTGACTCTGAATCTGAGTGCACTCTGGCCGCACCCTTAGAGTCGAAAGCGATCTATTAATACGGGCATTAACTAATTTTTCAATTTGACAATGATGTTTCATCTAAGTGGCCATTTTCAAGCATTCTCATACAAAACTGTTATATTAGATGATATTATTCATTTCTAAAAGAATTATTTATAAACAAATATCACATAAATTATGTTCATCTGATGATTCATGATGAAATATCTTGTCACTGTGAAATTTACAAATAAAATATTATCATGAAAAATAAATATTGCAATCATGTTATTTTAGTTCCCCAGATTTTTTTGACACCTACATCGTTATTGCAGGCAAAATCCAAGACCGCATCGACAAGAAAGCCGCGTACTTCCACCTAGTTGCGTGGTCGTTGCCTTTGATTCTGACCATAGCCACGATGGCTTTCGGCGAAGTAGATGGCAGCAGTGTTACTGGAGTTTGTTTCGTGGGCTACGTGAACCATCCGATGAGGGCAGCTCTATTGCTCGCTCCCTTGTCTGTGGTGTTGATATTAGGCGGCTACTTTTTGCTTAGAGGTATTTTATTTGAGTTTTCTTACTTTTTAGGGTTCTGTACGTCAAAAGAAAAACCGGAACCCTTACAGGATCACTTTCAAGTTAAGACACTTAATCTCGGGAATGTATTGAGTTGAAATTTGAACTATATACTCAGATCGGCGATCCCTTGAAGCTGTAAAAGTCCTACTTCTTAGTTTATCATTACCAATATTTTTGTCCAACATGTCGTTTATACATTTCAGACGTTCTACTTGTATGACCATTTAAAATTTCAGACGTTTTACTAGTACGTCGTTTAATTTTTTAAGTCCAATATCACACAAAGTAATTTCACTAAATTGACCTTCTGATACGGAGGGGACTATGTAGATTTTTTTTTATATTTATATGTATTTTTTGTAGGTGTGTTCTCATTGATCGCCGTCCGCGTGTCGAGTAAAGACGTGATATCGCCGCGCGCCTCCAACAAGATCCGGCAGACGATAACGCGCTGCTCTTTAACAGCCGCCCTTGTGGCCATCTTCATATGTGTCACTTTCACCTGCCACATCTACGAGTTTAGGAACGCGGAGCTTTGGAAGGAGTCCTTCAAGAAAAATATTATGTAAGTTCTTTATACCTTTTATTTTGTCATAGCAGGAAGAGACAGCGGATGCTTAACGCTGCTAACTTATACAAATACAACACTATGTTAAAGATTTCCACCACCAAAAAGTAAAAGTATTGTATCTTAGACCCAACCAATGCCAAATATACTATCGTTGAGGTGTGGTTATGAGAGAGATGTTATGTACTTTTTTACTCTCATGCTGCACCTTATATTCTGTGCCAACCTCGCAAACTATATTGCATAAAGAAAAGGTATCTTTGTTAAAAGATATTATCTAGATATGGTAACAGTGAATAAATTAGAATAATCCTGACTTTTTTCATAATGCAATCCAGAATACTGAAAACTGAAATAAGCAGCTAAATGGTTGTGTTGTGGATACTGAGTGGTAGATAGATATTCTTCTCAGATACTTTATTTGTAAATACTATGTTACATAAAGGAGAATGGTCATTTTACTTTGGGAGTTGGGCTAAGTTTTTTTCATTGCGTCTTATTGGAATAAGTGTACAACAATAGGGAATCAGGTGTATATTGCGTAGGAAAAATATCATTAGAAACTTAAGTAGTGGTTTAAAGAAAATATTAAATTACGTAAGCATTTTAAGGTTATGTCATATCTAGATTCGATTAAATTCGATATTTATACCATACTTAATTATTACTAGGTATACTACTTTAAACTGTATTTAATTAGGTTGTGACCTTTTGTCTTCTATTTTGGACTGGGAGTGAAACAAAAATTGAATGCACTTCGTAAAATCTTATCAACGGGCAGCGTATATTTGTAAACTGTTGCGTTGGTGAGTTGCTATCTATCTGTATTTATTCCAAACATCTCAGATTCAATAAATGTGGCGTTGTTGAGGTGCGGTTATATTAGTGCTATTTATACTTATTCTCTTTACGCTCAAGCTGCACCTTTGATACTCTGTTAACCCAACAATGGATATAATATTATTTAAGGTTTAGGAATCAAAAATAAATAAGACAAAATATAATGATAATCATTTATTGATAACACATTTATCCAAATCGACATTATTAATGTGATATTGTACGTAATATCTTTTGTAACTCGCCACCATGTCCTGTTGAGTTTGAAATATCCAGTTAAAGCTCTGCTAAGTTCAATTAACACAGCAGTTTATACATTAAGCGTGCTCTAATCCTGGTTTATATATTGCCTTTTTTTAAAAAAAGAATTGACTTATATACCTTCTTCCAATACCTCATCTAAAAATGTAGCTGGAGCATGTGTATCGTTAAATCGCCCCCAGCTAAGGTACCAAACTACCGTCATTACGTGTGCGCAACATCCTACTGTCCTTTTGCCTACAATACAACTGCAGCAATAGCCAACTAAACAACTTAGTGAGCTGGCTATATTGGTGTCACGGCTGACTAAAATGTAAACAAAATAGGTGCGTCCACCAACGTGTCTAGACTTAATACGTCCTCTAAGCAGATAATTGTTTAAACCTAATACAAGGGGAACATCTTCATCTATTTCTGTATTTATTTCTATGGAATATATCCCAGACGATCGAATATGTTCCCCATAATATGATCGCGCCTGCTTTAACTGATAAGTGCCTAATGCAAAGCGTTTTAAATCAGTGATGCTTAAACTGGGAAAGGTTTCCAAATGAGGATGATTGCCATCAATTGCAGAAAACATTGCACGTCTTCTGTTAAGATTTTGAGTTTCTACAAACTCGGCCAAATGATTGGACTCATTAAGCCGATTTTGAGCAATAGCTACATACTCGCTTGCTTCTGGAGGATCCTGTATTAAGGGATGAAACTTATTTAACAGAGCACATGCAATTCTTAAATCATCTTTTAAATGAGTTGCAGCTCTGTTATTAAATACATGCCTGAACAATCTAAATCTCGTTTTATACGTCCATTAACTATTTCAACCACCCAGCGACACATTGTTACAAATCTAGATTTGTTAGCCTGAAGGGTAGTGAGTTGATGTTCACCATCTAATAATGATTCAGGCATGTAAGCTTTAAAACCAAGATCCTCCATAAATTCAATTACGTCCCGAAACCCCCTATCCAGAATAAAAACATCATCCTGCCGGAAAAATGAACGCAGTTTTCCTTCTTCATTATTTAAATCATGCCTTGTTATTGAAGCATCATTAGTGGTTGCTTTATAGGGACCCATACAATCTATAATATATCCATCACAACACACAACCATAAAAGGTTTAACTAAATTATCAGATTTTTGTAAACTATATGATTCTTTTTGAAAACGATAATTGCTGCTGCTCTGCTGCTCTGGACAAATATATAAGTTGCGTCACACATAACAATAGCGGGTTTAAAATCATTTGGTAAGATTGGATTACCAAACAATCCCTCCGGGATTATTTTATTTCTGCTGGCCACTTGCTCCACATTTACATGACCAAAGCCCAAATGTCTTGACACAAAATCTTCAACTAAACAACTTCTAGCTATATTCATTTTTCTCTCCAAGGTCCTACGAGACACTTGAAAGAGGGAACTTAATCGTTCATTGCTGTCCCCAGTTCTTAACTTGACTATGTAAATACAGAGTGCTAAACGGGGATTTTTGACACTCTGTAATAAGCTTGGTACACATGCCAAGAGTTCATCAAACTGTTCAGCATTCATTCCCAGCCAATAATGGCATAAGAAAGGAGCCATTGCAGAAATATTTTCAAAGTCGAAACAATGGGAAACTGCTCTCTGCATTATATTCAAAATGGCATCAAACTGTACACCAGTAAAATCTTGCAGATTTGATGTTAAATCACTCCAACGCCCATTATTCAAGTGATGTTGACATATTCTACAACATGTGGGAACATAGAATTTATTATGTATTAATAACATTTCTCTTATTACTCTGGGTACTAATAAACATTGTTGTTCCCGGCATCCTGAAAACAGACAACTCGATGAAGTGGCTACAGCACGCTTATATACTGATGACTGTATCTTAGGTATAACAGGTCTTGAAGGCTGAACAGGTAATAGACCAGCGGGAAATGGTGGAGGTACTGGGATCACTGGTACAGACTCTGTTGGTTCTACATCAATTTGTTCAATTGATGACCGATTCGCATCATGTAACTGTTGCCTTTGCACTTCCCTATTAGCTGCTCGCCAACAGGCAGCACAAACTCTTGAAATTCTTGACACCTATAAAAAAAAGATGTGAACTTGAATTTAACGAAAAACCATCTACAACTATTTTATGCAATAGAAATATATTTCTTATAATAATAATAATAAATCATTTATCTGACAAGATATGGTAAATTATACAGATCTCAAAAATATAACCAACATGACCTGTCGCTTTTATCGACATGCAAATATTTATAGGTAGTTGCAGTATTATCCAGAACTCAATCTTCAAAAACTATATATATTATTTATATACCATAGTCATGATTGAGTTAGTTATTATATAATCAATTTCATTAATATACTACATGACAATTGTGCAATGTAAAAAAAAAATGTCAAAGTCATGTTTCAGTTAGTATTGAAATCAATTTAAATAAATTATTATTAATATAACATTTCAATCATGCAATGCAAAAATAATAATAATGTCACAGTCATGTTTTAATTAGCATTGAAATCAATTTTAATAATTTATTATTGATAATAATATCTTATACCATACCTGATGTGCTGGAGTCCATCTAAGAATGTAGTGAAGAACAGTGTTGTGAAACCCTGTACGATCGACTTCTTAATATGGATTTTCCACAACCAAAACAGACTTGTTGATGGCCATATTGTGGTGCAGGTACTTCTTCGGTGGTGTCACTAGCTTGTAGTAGCATAAAGCATTCGTTGCACACTATGCCCCCATTCAATATCTATAAGAAGTCAAAAATATTTATATTTATTTGAACATGTGAATGAAATTAAAACATTATCTCACGGATGCGATTGTATAACGATATATTTTTAGTAATATAAGTAAATAATTACTTACAGAATCAGGTGCGATCCATGAGCATTGAATTGAATTAAGCATTGAATTGGATAGCATGTCCAAAGAATGTACTGGCTGTCGTCGTGGCACTGATATACAACAGTTAATACAACGTCGTTGCATACTGCCTGCGTTTTCTTGTGTAACACCAGATGCCATTGTAAACAAAAATAATTGCAATAAACTAAGAGTCCAAATATCTCTGTCAGAATCACTAAAGGTAACTTAACACTAAATCAACGAGTCCAATGCTCTCTTTCCCAAAAAAACAGTTATTAACGTTAGGATTACTCAACTCAAGATTAAAACTATTCTGCCACAATAGACCACTGAAAACACAAATTCAATTCAAAATTGAAAACTGTACACTGTAGTTAGTCACACGGAACAAACAACAAACACGTTGACAACAAGTTGACAGCTACCTACTTCACTTGCCTATGGTATATATTTCGATTTGATTCTATAGGAATCGATTCCTACACAATCGATTAATAAATGTTTTATTTTTCAATGCAAATGCTTAAAATGTTCAAACCATGAGTTAATTTATATATGATTAAGTAATTATATATAACATAACTGATAATTTAAACAAAAATATATTCCCTTTTTTAATCTAAGATGTGAATTATAATAAACGTTTTATTTTTTCTTTTTGAAGTGAAACTTCTTTACGCACTCTTGACTTGGGGAGTAAGCTAGCGAACGTAAGCATTAAGAAAAGTGTGATCGGGCGAGGCGAACGGGAGTTGAGTGGGGGATGTAAGCATGAGAAAGCAATGCGCGTGCACATTTTCTTTCTCTCTTCCTCTCATAGCCAAATACGTTCCGTATATCTAAGCACAGTGCAAGCCTATTGTCTGTATCACAGTGTAGGAGCAAGAGCGCGCGCACGCATTTTCTTTCTCTTTTTCTCTTACAGCTAGTAAATGAAAGAAGTTTCACTTCAGTTGTGTAGTCATAAGCACACTCGTTTTTTTATGTTAAGAATATTTAAATAAAGAAATATAATCGATTTTTTTTCCTACGATAGTATCGACCAGGTGATACAACTTTTATCTATGGTTATTGGTTATTTACTCAGTTTAATAGCCATTTATTTATTACTTTAAATATCCGCATAATATTTACATAATAAACACACATATGAAATGATAATTCAGAAGATTTTTGATACATAAATGCGTCAAGCGCAATCTAGGCGGATTTGCCCATTCTCCTTTACATACAACTGAATCCACCGGAACTGGCAATATGGGATTGTCGAATCAATTGAAAATTTTCAAATAGGAAGCGTAACACAGGTCTTGATTTGTATTTTTTTTTCTACAGTTCTTTCAGGACTTTTTTTTTCATAGACAGAAATAGAAAGAGGGAAAGCAATGATATGTACCCGTGCGATCTCTTCGTCTCTTATACTTATCTGACCAGTTTAACCTTACAGTTGGACAAGGGAAGCTCAGTCTCTTTGGCGGCTTCCTCACCGAGTTGGTGTGGGCTCGTTTTGTTTTCGTGTCTGTGTCGAATCTGAGAACATCTTTTCGACCGGCTTGGTTTCGCTGCAGTAGGGTTTCGTTTTGCGCTAGTGAGTCGAATGGTTCAGTAGCACTGGTTAGCATTCGCCAGCTCGCAGCTGTGAATCCGCTCGGTAAAGAATTTGTACAGATTCGGTACAAACGAAAACGAAACGAACCCGCTGGGTCGGTACCCAGTAAAGAATGAGCCTTTGTTTATTTTTTTAAAAATTAGTTAATAGTACGAACTTGATTCGTTATTCACGCGAAGTCCAAGGCCGCCATTAAGTTTGCCGGCTAATTTCAATAATCAAACGCCAGTAAGACGTAGTCGTACTCGAGCTTTGTTGCTATGATATTTGTATTATTAAGACTAGTAACAACCGTTGCTAAGAAACGGAACCAGATTATCCTTACTTTTTACTGGAGGTTGATTATTGAAACTGGCCGTTAATGATGGCTGTGATGTTAGCGCCGCAAGTTTAGGCACATTAAACGAATGTAGGGTGATGTAGGGTGGTGCGCGCCGGGGGCTATGTCACTCAACAGAAACCTGCGCATAGTTATGCTCGTTGCTAATTTCACAACCGCCATAGAGTTTGAATAACGGAGACGTCAAATAAATTTGAAATCATGTGGTGTATTACTCTATTGTTAATTCAAAAAAGTGACACGCACGTAAAGTTTAATCAAACATAAAAGTTAATTGACACCTGAGTATGCCTGCAAGTCCATTTTCTCTAGTCTATGGACCCAAGTGACGTATGTGCCATTTTCAAGACATCGTTTGGAAGCGTTGCGGGAGAGTGAAAAGTAATTTTATGTTTCTCTGACTACGTGTGTTAGAGCTATATCTCTTTTTGGCATCCGAGTAACGTTTGTGTCTTTGTATCACATGTCGTTTGCAAGCGTTGCGGGGAAGCGAGAAGGATGCACGAGCGGTGTTCGGAACTCAGTATCGGTGCTGCAGCTGCGGTTGCTTTGTTAATTCCAAAGTTGATTGATGTCTCTCTGACTATGTACAGTTATAACCCAACTTAGTAACCATAAAAAGCTAATTTGACATATTGACTATCCACTGTAATTTTCCATAGAATTATAAAGTGCAGAGTTGCATTTACGGAGCCACTTAGCAGCTACATTATTTAATTATTTTGCACTAGTTAGATTTCGGCAATCAGAAAGAGCAGTTCTCCTGATTAGTTACGAGACTTGGTACTTGAGTTCGCGTGTCATTAATTTCCATTTAACAAGTATTTTGGGGGTTTTTGGTTTTTCTTAAAGACAGATAGCGCTGGCCTTCTAACATTACGTAAGTAATGGGATCCTAGCAATGATATAGATAAGAACGACATATGACTCCACCCCTGATGTTAAGTGAAGGTGAAGTCCTCACCTTGCCGGCCTGTATGTTGCTTCTTCACGCCTCGTTTAAAAAATCCCAGGTTGTAAGAAGGAGGGAACACGTGAGCAGGCAGAGCATTCTATTTACGGATAGTGCGACAAAGATGAGTCACCAAATTTCTTTGTACGCGCTGGAATTGTGGCCACGGTTAGTTAGACGGTGACAACGAAGGCCAGCGCGCGTGGTCCTCTGAAGGAAATGGGAAGGTGGAATAAGAGAGAATAATAACTGTTTGTGTCTTTGTGTCAGATGTCGTTTGGAAGCGTTGCGGGAGAGCGAGAAGGAGTGCTCGAGTGGCGTTCGGCCGTCAGTATCGGTGCTGCAGCTGAGGCTGCTGTGTTGCTTCGCTGGCGGCGCGCTCATGGCCTCCTGGACCTGGACCCCCGCCGCCGCCGCCGCGTGGAGGCGGTACCTGGCCAGGTGTGATGCGGGGATGTAGGGAGGGAGGGGGGCAGTATCGGTGCTGCAGCTGCGGTTCGCGAGACCAAAATTTTGAGTATCCCACAGGAATCTAAATTTTTTCCGGGATAAAAAGTATTCTAGGTCACAATCCAGGTCATAAGTTTATTTGATTTGGATGATATTTAGTATGCATGTAGTTACATGCATACTAAATTTCATCCAAATCGGTCCAGTAGTTTTTGTGTGATTGAGTAACAAACATACAAACTTTCACATTAATAATATTAGAAGGATAACATAATTAAACCCTTTTATTATTGACGATCTCCGTGGCCGAGTGGTTAGTACGACGGGTTTTATGCTGTCGCTGACTTCAGAGGTCCCGGGTTCGAATCCCGGTGGGGGCAGATGTTTGTGTAATGAATACGAGCATTTGTACTCCAGTCATGGATGTTTCATATGTATTTCTATAAAAATATACTTGGATGTATATGTATTCTATCCGTTACCCTAGTATCCCATAACACAAGCCTACAGTGCTTACTTTGGGGCTAGGCTAATTGGTGTGAGTGTTGGCAACGTTTATTTAATTATATTTATTTATTTATTATGTCGGAAAAATACTTTTCACACTGTAATTGCGTAGGAAGTGTGGATGTTCGGTGGAAGCGGAGGTGACGCGACGCGCGACTAAAGACGAGCTCATACGACGCGCGTACCGACGTCGCGGGGAGTTTGCTGCGCGCGGGAGACTATCAATCTCTCTGGGGGCTTCGAGACAAGATCCGGTGGGCCTTTATATAGACCACGCGTCCCCGATGGATTATCCGGACGACGTTAAACATGAGAGGTAAGAATCTTGTGACCCTTGAAAATTTTTATTCTTAACTTATATTAAAATAAGAAGCGCGACTAAAGACGAGCTGATACGACGCGCGTACTACGTCACGGGGAGTATGCTGCACGCGGAAGACTATCAATCTCTTTGGGGGCTTCGAGACAAGATCCCGTGGGTCTTTATATAGACCACGCGTCCCCGATGGATTATCCGGATGACGTCAAACATGAGAGGTAAGAATGTTGTAACACTTGAAAATTTGCAATCTAAACTTATACTAAAAAAAGAAGTACGACTAAAGACGAGATCATACGACGCGCGTACCGACGTCGCGGGGAGTTTGCTGCGCGCGGAAGACTTATCAATCTTTCTGGGGGCTTCGAGACAAGATCTGGTGGGCCTTTATATAGACCACGCGTCCCCGATGGATTATCCCGATGACGCCAAACATGAGAGGTAAGAATGTTGTGACACTTGAAAATCTGCAATCTAAACTTATACTAAAAAAGAAGAACGACTAAAGACGAGCTCATACGACGCGCGTACCTCCTAATATCGATAAATTTTTTATGTAAATAATGTAAAAATTTTGGTGCAGATGGGCGTAAATATTTATCACTAAATATCGATAAAAATTTTATGTAAATAATTTTTTATTTGCACCAAATTTTTTAATTCAAATTAAAGCTTAATTCTGTTTTATACATCATATTACCATCTTTGTCAATTGTTTAAAGTCAAAAAGAGATAGAATAAGGCTTAAACATGACTAACTTAGGATGTCGTCCGACGAGGTAGTGTTGCTCTGTGCTGTTTCCGTAGTAATATGAGAGTACGAGAACGTAACTGAAAAATCTCTGAGTCATAAGACCACACTACTTCCATGTTTAAATAAACTTTAAAGATGGAATGGATGCGCATCATTTAGATTTAATCATCAAGCAGTTACATGCTTAAGAAATAAAAATTATAACTATAATTGCTGTTTCTTCGTTCAAATGTTTAATACTTGTAAAAGGATTTCATTTGTTATTGTGGTTTACCTACAATGCGAAGAGATGGCGCTGCCTTGCAGCTTAAGAATGGCTAGTGGAATTTCGACGCGGCTATCAGGGCCGCGGTAGTGGTAATATAATTGGTCAGTGCATTCGCCCGGATAGAGAAGGGTGCGGGTTCGAGTCCCGTCTGCTGCCTGGTCCGCGTGGAATTTTTTCTAGTTATATTTTCTTTAGATTTAAACATCAAGCAGTTACATGCTTAAAAAATTAAAATTATAACTTTAAAGATCCCGCAACACACTTCCACACACACCTGTCAACTTTTGTTTGTAAACTAAATGTTTCGTTCGTCTTGCTCTCCATTCAGAGTGGAGAACACGCTAACATTTATCTCAAACAATGTGGCATCACCTTTGTTTATAAACTGTTTCTAAACTCTACACAGAGGTGATGCAACATTGTAAAACACTGTTTACAAACAGTGTTTGTAAACAAATGTTGCCTAATGAATACGCAGCTTTAGTCTGTTATTAATAACCAACCTAACATTTTCTCATGTATCCAGTTTATTAGGTTATTTATAGTTTCTTGTTGCACAGTTGCGAGCTATCATCTTCGTGGGCGGCGAACTTGCCGCGTTTCGTTCGTCGCCGCGACGCATTAGTTTTGCCCGCGCACACCCATCATTCTCTAAGCTCCACCCCAGACCGCCGCAACTCGCAAGACTCTCAAATCAGCATCAGTCTACGCCACGTCTCGGTAGAATCGCGCCGCAACTCGCTCGACAGTCAACTATCCGTGAAAATTGCCGAGATGAAAACCAAAGTTGGTCGCCGTAGAACGAAGCACACCAAAGCTAAAAGAAAGGCGCGCGCTGCGAGCGCTCGCAAGGAAAGCACGCCGTCTATCGAAAGTCAGATCAGCCGGTATTGGCTTCAGGCCGTCGCAGCGAACAATGATCCGTCCCGCGAAGAAGTCAAGTTTAGTTTTGATTGACAATAGTAGGCGAATTCGCGTCCACATATTTTAGGTACGTACAGCCACCATGGAGGTATAAGAATAGAGTGGGGAAGGCGGTTCTAAAAGTGTCCGTCTAGTAGAAAGAGAAAGAAGATGAGAGAACGCTAGCTATCTCTCTCTTGTGACGCATGGCATTCAATGGTATCACATCGAAATAGTAACATGCTTACGGTTGCCAATGCGAATGCGCGATTGGAGAGAGAAAGCTAGCAGTCTCTCATCTTTTTTCTCTTCCTATTAGAGGGACACTTCCACTTGTAGTACAGTCTATATTTCCCCTACTCTATTCTTATACCTCTATGACAGCCACAGGTCCAGTTACCCAAAACTGTCAAACTTTGAGTGACAGTTGATATAAAATTAACGATATAATGAGTTTTTTTTTACAGTTTGGGGTAACTTGATGTATGGCTGTCTGTACATGGAACCAATATTTTTTTAAGTGCATTTTATTAACAGTGTTCAAAGTCAAAAAGAAAATGCATATCAATACTGAGAGAAATTGAGTTGCATTACTTAGAAAGGTGCCCTTATGGTTGCTATTTATTTTAATAATAAGAATAAAGTTCAAATTAGTAAGTCCAAAGGTATAATATCGCCCTAAGCAATAATTTAATGTTAGATCTCGTAAGTAGAAATACCAGTGTAATTGTGTGAAGTGCTTAAAATATGTACGAAAATATGTATATATGCTTCTGTGCGGTAATCGTAAACTTATTTTTTACTGCGCGCAAGATGTTCTATTATTAAAGTCCAATAACGCGTATTATTATTTTTATAATACTTTAAAAAATTAAAGATATAAAAGACTGATAAGAATCTTTTGGTAACCATTGTCTCCAATTCTATATTAAATTATCCATGACAAATGACAATCTCATAACAATATGTGATAATATTTGTAACCTCGAACATAATTTAGTTTGTGCCATAAATAGCGTTGTAATTGTTCAAAGCAGTAAATCCAAGTCGACTGATATTTTAGTGTGTAAGTTTTAGCGGCAACATTAGTATTATTGATCTATGTAATTATTTACAACAATTAAATTTGCGGACTGTTATAATGTTAAACCTTAATTAAGCAAGCTGTTGTTATTTCAGAAATACTGGTAGGTATTTTTAAATCGATTTTTTTTATTCAAAATGTCGTTTTTGATATTTGATAATATTGATATAATTGAATCAGTGTACAAGCCACGGTTGTGATGCGATAAATTCTTGTTGTTACATGTTGTGAGGCTATAATTATGATGGAATAAGTATTTTTTACAACAGCAACTAGTTTTGCGATGTAGGTATATTGTTGCATAGATAATACGGACTGTGAAGTAAATATTACCTTACATTGCTTAATATAATCAATGCAGATATGTATATACATTTCGTTAGTTTTGCTAGCTTTAATTTAGCAAGTTTTGAGGTTTATTACTCTTTGAATAGTATTTTATACATAATAAATTCATAATTGATTGATTAATTGTTTTCTTTAAATTCCCGATTTAATAAGCACAGAAACTATCGTTTTTATTGGAACATCTAATCATCTTATGTGAGATGTTTTCATCTTTTATTTACTACAGATTTACTTTATTTTTAAAGCAAAATATTTGGGACGACATGTTAACAACACTTAGGCTCAATTAATATCGCCGCAGAATTTAATGGAAGCGAATTTTACATCAAAATCGTGCATGGCATAATGAACTTTATTTATTTATATGTTCATTATATCAATTTAGGTTTAACAAACAAACTAAATACGAGGGAATTCTCGAGGATGCGCGACGATTCTCCGAAAGACGCGCGTTTTTTTTACCTCTTATTCAGTTTGTATGTTATACAATAAATTGTCAACATAACGAGCCGTTACCGCCAAATTATCGTAAGCGACACTCGCCAAATTATCGTAAGCGACACTTTTGTCGAAATGCGTTTTTTGTGGAAACTAATATTTTAAACCGTAACGGACCCATCTCTGTTGATATTTCCCTCTATTATATTATAACACCGTTATAATATCAACAGAGATGGGTCCGTTACGGTTTAAAATATTAGTTTCCACAAAAAACGCATTTCGACAAAAGTGTCGCTTACGATAATTTGGCGGTAACGGCTCGATAAGGTTCATTATGCTATGCTTAGGTAATTTGCAAAAAATCGCTTCCATTCCATTCGGTGGCGATATAAATTGAGCCTTAATGGCGGAATTACATTTGGTTGTCAGTTTGAATACGATAGTTTATGGAATTCGGACAAACGACCAAGTGTAAATGAACGGAGTCGAGTACGCCCGTATTCGGGCAGTTTTCCTTTTGGTTACCTGACGCCTTCTTCCAGCCCGATTTACAATAAATACGGTCTAACGACAAAGTGTTATTTCGCGTATCGAGTCCAAATCGCCAGTCTTTTGTATAGGAGCTACTGGTGGGCTCACATTAGCACGGTAATATTATCTATACAGTATTGTGACTCGGCCCTGTCCTTGAAATAAATGCCTACGGCCGAGCGCTGCGTTACACGCGGTAGGGCCCACCTACAGTATTTTAATTTCATCTACATAATTGAGTTTCTTTCTAGTTTTGTGATTGTAAATATTTTATTTTATATGTAAAGATTCTCCGCAAGCCCATATACCCATATCGTAGGAATGCATTAAAAATAACTATTCCGCCATGTTGGATTTAGAATGACGTCACACAGCTAACCATGTATATACAAAATTTCAGCTCAACCGGTTGAAGATATCTGCTTCAGAATTGAGTTGCAAGATTCCATCCGAACAAACATAGTTACATACCTACCTATATTGCAAGTCAATTAAAAGCTTGTAAAAAACCCGACTGCTGATTTTTATTCTTACATAATTCAATAAATAGTTATTTATTATACAAGAGTGGAAAGTTCCTTTTTAACCGCGTGCTCGATTTGGATGACCGAGCAAGCGAAGGATTCTAAAGTTGAATCACGAGCGCAGCGAGTGATTCTAAATTAGAATCCTGAGCGTCAGCGAGGGAAACAAACGAGCACAAGGTGAAAAATCTTTCCACTCGAGTGCAATACGTAACTTTTCATCCCACCTCAGCGAGGAAATGACAAAATGAAAAAGAAAACAATTTATAATGACAAAATATTTTTATTTCAATTAAAACACATTAAGATAATCTATAAATTGAAGAAAATAATAAGAAGTAGAAAATAATTAAGAAATATTAAATGTAACGTTGCTACAGTTACTTATGTTAAGTTTAATATTTTTGTTAGGTAATGTTATGTTGGTGTTTGTGAATTGTGCGCTGTTTTGTGGTAAACTACTCGTATCAGTAATTTTAAATAGTTGTGCCGATTCATTGGATTCTATTGGCGTAAATGTTGGCGAGAGAGGGCTATTGTTTCCAATCTTATAGGGGCTCATTTTAGATGTAGAAGGGCGAGACCAAGAATCTGACAGAGGTTCTTTCAGCGTTATGGCCTCCACGATACTATTACAAATTTTTGATTTACTTTGGATTGAATCCTCTATGTATCCCTCTACAACCGAATTAGACTTCCAGCCTCCATGGCGCTTAAGCGATAGAAGATCAGCCCCTGATTCGGCCAAAAGTGTGGCTGAGGTTCTTCTAAAACAGTGACCGGTGTATAACGGGGGTTCTAAAAGTCCGAGAAAAGTTGCTATTTCTCGTGGAATACTGCCAATTTTATTCTGACCCATAGGTTGTCGGATACACTTTCCGTTGCGATATTGTAGAAAAAATCGTTCAATTGGGGTGTTAGAAGGACGTAAAGCTTGATATTTCTGAACAATGTTTACATATTCCTTGCGAATAACGAAGTTGCGGTCTTTTTTTGTCTTGGTATTTAGTACATTAATTAATAGCAATTCATCAGAATTATGAGAATATTTTGATACGTTATTGACATTAAGTAGTGTAAGTTCATTTGTTCGACATGCTCCGGTTATACCAATAATAAGAACAACCTGTAACAAAAGAAGTATTTATAATCGTAAATAAATTAATCAAATTAAAAATATTGTAAGTACTATGTACAATTTTATCAACAACAAAAAATTACACGTATTGACTTACTTTTGCCGCTAAATATACGGAATCAGGTGCTTCATTAATAAACTTTGCAATTTCAGATGCTGTGAAAACCTTCGATTTTTTTGGTTTATAACCAGATGAGGCTCTTTTTAAAAATGCCACTAATTTATGATAGGTGTCGATATGAACGTCTTTCTTCATCTTAATTGTTAATTTTAGCATTGAATACGTACTCCATAGCGTGCTTGCTTTCTTGGTCTCAGATAATTCTATAAAATATGCCAGCAAAACGTTTTCGGAGAAAGTTTTTGCTCCTTTAGCTAGTCGCCACATGTTAAATATATCGTACTGTTTCAAATACTTCTCTCGTGATTGCTGAGGGAGAAGGCTCATTTGCGCATTATTAACTGTTTCAGTTAACTCAGTTGGCGTTAGATAAACTTCATCGTCGCTAATGTCACTCATTTTAGTTGATTTTTTTGTACAGTTTTTAGGTTATGTTAATTATATTAAGCAATAAAACGTGAAAAACTAGAATGGCGCGAAGCACGCAAATAAAACAAAGAAACCAAGAAGGTTCCAAATTTAAATTTTTTCACAATTTAAAAAGTTCTAATCATAAATTTGGCACCATAGAGGTTACATTAAATAGGTTTAATGACGTTTTGAATTTACAATTATATTGAGTACTCATTATATGTGATGTTCTAAATTCAAATCTACTTTGCCGCTCAAGCGAATAAAATAGAATTTTCCAGCCAGATTTCGAAGCGCAAAATTACACTTTCCGAGGTGGTGGGATGAAAAGAATATTATTTTAAACATACAAGTTATATTCATTTGTAAGTCATGGCGCAGTCGGGTTAAAAGGAAATTACCTACATTTTAGGTAGGTACTGTAAGGATCGTTTCATGCAAACTAATTATTGTCATTTAAACACTTATTTTCAAGAAATTACATTATTATTAGCAATAAACAAAATACTGTTTTTTAAACTCAGCACAAATCTCCCTATTTTATTATTTTACAGCTATCAATTCCTGTCAACAATCCGTCTCTTTTCCAAATTACCTAATAAGTTGCCAGTATACACCAAAAATATCCGATCACTACAATACCTACCATTTATTACTCTCGTAAATTATTTCATAATGATATTTCATTTAATTCAATAATGTATGTAGTTAAGTTATTCAATAATGTATGTATCTAAGTAAGTAGATAGCCTAGTCTAGGAAACTACCTACCTATTATGTAGTTTTGTTTTTAACGTGAGTGTAGGTAGATTACTCGTTTGTCTCTTTTTTCACCTTATCCACCTATTTATATATTATTCCAGATATTTTGCCCGATGGCAAATTCGAAATACCTAAATATTAAAAACAAATTACGTACTAGTAGATAGGTATATAAAAAAATATCCTATAGTCTTACCTTTCCAATATTTCAGGTAATTTAAAAAATGATATCTCTGGGTGCGTTATTAAAGAGTTCAAGCAACCAAAAACAGCACAATATCGTCGTTTGTTCTTTGCCATATTAAATTATGTAGGTATCTACTTAATTCAATCAAATATTTACAACACAAAACGCACGTTTAAGCACGGCTAACTGCTTAAAAAACAATTCACACCGTTCGGTCGTCGCTGCTGCGCATTCGCGACTGGGTGTCCCCCGAGATTCCGCCGAACTCGAGTGGCGTAGGTATGATTCGCTTTCCGACTGTTTGTATGAAGATAGAATACTTTATATATTATTACCGTGACATTAGTGCCCTTATTCACATGATCTCCGTTTTATCGGATACGTTTTTAACACGCTTTTTATTAAGTCGACTTGTATGTAACTATGTAATGAAATCTAAGAATCTGAATTACATGCACTTCTAATTCGTGTATCATCATGAAACTTGGCAATTATATGTAGATTAGATGATACCATCGAGCTGGTCTGATGATGGGACTGGAATGTGGCTGATGGAACCTTGGACTACCTACAAGTAAACATATCGAGTTTTGGCTCATTAGATTCGTCCTAACATGTACTGTTCATTTTTTCTGATGACTAAAACGAGTAAAATAAAGTAATAGTTTAAAATACTAAAAACACGCTTTATTTACTGAACTAAAAAGCCTAAAATAAACAAAATATACTCTCTGTTTAGTTCATTAGGGCGTTAGAGTAAGCCATGTTTATAGTTTATTTTATCATATATATATATATATATTTACATATATTTAAAATGGAAAGAGCGTGGCGCGCTTCATTATTAAATTTTAACTGAATTGTTAAGCATTATGATTATGAATCACGTAATATATTAATTGATTTGATAAATATGGCAATGAATAGCGCCCCGCGCTTTTTCAGTTAAATAAATATGTTAAAATAAACCATGGCTTACTCTAAGGCCCTCATGTAGTAAACAGAGAGTATATTTTGTTTATTTTTGGCTTTTTAGTAAAGTAAATAAAGCGTGTTTTTAGCATTTTAAACTATTATTTTTTTCCATCCATGTCGTATGTATATTGTACAACTACATACGCCAATAATGTATACCTACGTTTAAACAGACAACACAGTGAATTCGCACTAACGTTTCTGATGACGGAAAAATATTAATCTGCCGGTTTGGATGGTGTGGGAGGCAATACGAAGGGGTAGAAAATAGCAAAAAATCCGTGCGCATCAGACATTGAGAAGGGAAGTTACGAGACTACCTTAAGTAGCTCCTATTCCAAAGGCTAATGGTTTGGACGCGACCAAATGTCATGGTCGATTGTTGGATTGTTTTTGCTACCGTAGAGGTTCGACCCTATATAAAGGGCTCAGGTATGTATGGTAGGGGTTCTTCACAAGGTGCAAGGCGGCATAATAACATAAGCGGCACTTTATGTTATTCTGCCGCGTTCGAGTAAATTCCAAAATCCCCGCTTGGGCTTCCCTACTATTGGGAAATAATCTCATTCTCACTCCATGAGAAATTGACTTTTTATAATAATTTGCGATAGCTTCTCATCATCAGTATACTTATTTATGTACCCGCTGCAGGGGCACAAGCCGTCCCTATGGATGGAATAGGGAGATTGGAACATGCATGGCCGAATCTCCCTATCATTATCCAACACGGGCTGAGTGCTGATTGGTGGTTACTAATTTACCGAATGTAGATGCAGCCGGGACCAAAAAGCTTCACGAACCTTTGAAGCAATGATGAGCTTGTGTTAGTAAATGTAATTTGGTCTCCTCTCCGATAATCGGCCATTGCGTAAGTTGCATAACTACTGTGTTTGAAGACTTAATGCGTTTACCATTACCGATATCAAGCTTGTCAATATTAGTTAAAATAGCTATGGCTCAATTTATACTGCCGCGGAATCAAGGGCGTAGCCAGCATTTAGTTTGGGGCAGGCAAGTGAAAGTAATATGTTCACTACATTTGCATAGTTGCCCGGCAATGTGTGGCTACGACAGATGGCCCGGCAAAATTATATTTTTAAGAATACCTTAATGCTTGTTAGTTGTACACACACTAACAATATACAGACTACAGACTTTAAAAAAATCCTTATATCCATCATTTTACGTCCAAGAAATGCTTAACGTACGTACGAAATCACTTCACTGTTTACGAGTAGTCCTATCGAAATTAGAGCTTTAGTAATGAGACTAATGACAGTGATGTGCGATTCTATAATTTTTTGAAATTTTATATTTAGTTCTTGGATTATTTATTATTTAATTTTTGGTTCTGAAGCTCCTCGATCTGGGGGGGAGGGGGGCAGCTGCCCCCCCTGCCCATACCTGGCTACGCCCATGCGCGGAATGGAAGCGACTTTAAGCAACAAAATTGTGCATAGCATAATAAACTTTATGTCAATGGTTTAGTATGAGGGAATTCTCGAGAATGCCCCGATTTTGGCCCGTATTCAGTGTATTTATATAATTGATGTAAGGTTAATTAAGCCATGTTAGTCTAAGCGTCAATTTCGCCTCGTAGCGCGAGAATGCTCGAGAATACCGCCATGAGGTACTAATCTGTGCTTGAGGGACGTTCAGCTGTTATATTCTAAATTTTGTTCCGTACAGGCAAGACACCGAACTACCGACCTACTAGTAGACACCCCACTTCCCGCAGACTGCACCGACAGTTGCAAGAATTCTGTTGACATATAGTTCATTATGCTATGTACGATTTCGTTGAAAAATATCCCTTTCATTCCATTCTTTTTGAGTTATATAGACAAAATCGAGCCTATCTATCTATCATACAGCCGTACTGGCTGCTACGGTCAATTTACGAAAAACTTACTTTCTTTTTCATTAGACTGTGAATTTTATATTAGGCAGTATAAAGCTCGAAAACGGATTAAAAAAAATTACAGTTATGAGTAACTTGATTGGGTATGGCTGTTGTATGCATCTGAAATCTTTAAAATAAAATACATCGTAAAATTTCTGTAATTTAATGGGAACAAAAGCAAGCAAATTATGTCACAGAAAAATTACTCTTATTACAGTGAATGTCAAATACATTACCAGTGTAACGTAATAAGGTTTACATAACTACATATTCTATGTAAAGTTGGAAGCTTAACTTTTAGGTACAATTTTGTCTAAAACTATTGGATGTTACCTTTGAGTTTAATCAACCTGTCTGAATATTAAATTCCCAGCCCCATTCAACAAAGTAAGTTAAAAAAACAATTTCATACTAGCGAGCGATTTAAACTCTTAAACAGAAATTTCATAACAATTTGATGCTAGTTAAATTGGAGATCAAGTAACATGTTGAAGGTCATTGTACAGTCAAGGACTCGTCGATGGTTAGAATAATGCATGCATGCACTTGATAGCAAGTTTATTTTGCGGCAATAAGAGCGATAATCGTATAGCTAATGTATAACTTGTGTCATTAAAGAAAGGAATCGAAAATGCCCACGCAAGATATTCTGTCTCTCTCGCACGTTACATCGTACGTTACACGTCGATAGTACATGTGAGAGGGACAGAATGTCTTAAGTTTGCGTCCTCATTTGCGATTCCTTTTTTTGATGACACGAGTTATAACTACTGTCGTAACCTTGACTGTATTTCAACACTTAAAATATTCGAGTGTAAAAAATACTAGATATAATTCTAGTATAGAAAACGCAGATTTAACTGTAATCAAATTGTGACGAAACCGCTAACCAATTATTACATCTATATTTAATACGCTGTCGTAAATAATTTTATTCGTAACATAATTTATAAATTTAAAATAAGTACACTATTCATAAATCACAGATGTAACTTTTCAGCGGCAAGATAATGGTGTTGAGGAACTTGTTTAGCTAATAAATTTATTACGATGATAAATTTGATTTAAAAGATTGAATAAATAGGTATAACTTGTTGAAAAGAGGAACAATCATTTTAAAACAAATTTATCCACGAAATATTTTAAATGAGTTGTGTTCCATGATAATTATTAAGCACTGACCATGCGATTTGCAATTTAAAAAATGCCATGACCAGCATGCAGAGCAACAAAATCACAACAAACAATTAGAAAAAATAACTAGAAAACATAACACTTAAACCTAATGTCTATTCAACAAGGAATGATGATTTGGTTCAATGTACTTTTATCTTAGAAACTAAAAAATAAAATTGCACGCATTTTATAGGAAACTGGTATCTTTGGCCCTAATCTATGAAAAAGTTATACAAAACCCAAGCATATTTTTCAATAAAATTATTAAAAGACAAAAAGAAAGTAGAAAATAATTATTATGTGTAAATTATGCTAAAAATAGACCGCTTATATCATAGTGTGCACACAACTATTCTATTTTAATATATTCGCTATATCGTCACTGACGACATGCAACAATTAACGTCTATCTAAATAGCAACAAAATTAATCTATATAAGGACATTATCACACGTTCACAGCAGTCTTTAGTTTATGTAGCTCTTGCCTTGCGTATATTTTTCTTTTCTGCTTCAGTGAATCCTAGAATGTTTTCGATAGCGTTCAGATGTCCCTGGTGGTTTTCAGGGTCAGTGAGGAAGTAGTAGATAGCTGATTTGAGGAACTGTAGTGTAACTTCGGGGTCTACAGACGTCTTGTTGCCCTTCTGCGATTCTACAATGCGACGGTACATGGCCTGAAACGAGATTACATGGGTGTTAACAATAATTTTTATTAAAAGAAATCTAAATACTAAAATTATCTACTAACCAAAAAAATAAAAGTACAACATGCTAGACTAAAACTTATAAAACATATTCTTATAATGTGTACACTAGGTATATACTAAGACTATTAAATAAAATATATAAAATAATATCTAAGTTGATATAGTAGCATCTAATTTGTTAAAAAACGGAATCAGGAACTAAATATATTAATCAAACCACCAAGATCCCAACCCGAAACCAAAAGAGGCTGTTTCCAAATTATAACATCTCATGCAAAGCATTAGATCTAAGAAAACTAGATTAGTCTACATGCGTTAGAACAGCAGCTTGTTTATAAAGTACTTTTAAAATAAATCGTTTGCATGCACATCATATTTGTTATAAATGTCTAGGAGAAGGAAGGTCATGTCATGCCAACAACTGGTAATAAAAGTTATTAAATAAATATGTTGTACTTGCTACACTGAACATGGTTATGTTAAAATAGATGATGGTACAAAATTCAACTTTATTCCATGGCAATAGGATAGTGAATACAATGAATTGCAAGATAGCTGTCTGTGCCCTGTTTGTTAACGGGAAATATGGTTAATAAAACAATACAACGTTATTGGCAGTAAAATAAACACATTTTTGGTTTTCTTTTTATTATACTGAGTTTATTTACCAACACATAAGAAATATATATTTTTTGTGATAATATTGAATTGATATTGCATGTTAAATTCATTGCCCTATACATGTTTAATTGCTATGTGTGTTTAATTGATTTAAATAATTACAAGCAAAATTTTTGCTTATTTAAACTGATATTGCAAATCTTCTTGTTTTATTCGACATTTATCTTTCCCAAGAACAATCTATAAATAGATTTTAAAATATATATTACAATTTAAAATCTCAACAAGGTCTGTCTTGAGCTGTTTTTAACATTAAAAATGTTTTTGTGTTCGCTCCAGTAGGCCCCCATTTTCGCTGAAAGTGCGACTCGCCCGTGATGCCCTGAGGTTTAGGGCCACGTGGACGTAGGAGGGCTCAAAAGACGCGGAATTCGAAGGGTTTTAAGATGATGAAAAATATTTTGGAAAACATGGTTTTGAAAAATCACTTTTTTTTGGATTTGAAAAAAGAAAATGTTTTTTTTAATAATCTATAATAGGTATATTCATATTCAATGCCCTTTCAAGTCGTGTAGAGCACGAGATCTGTGTTTCTTTTTCGGTTAGTGTTATATTTATGGTAAAATTATCTAAATTAAAAGAAACTCAACTCTCAGTATTACCAGTTGTCACTGCTAATATAAAATTTCCAGATCCTCAATTCCATGTACCACAATGATTTGATAAAGCTTCTTTGCCCTTATACAAAGATAATCTACATTTTGTTACAGTACTACCAAAGGAATAAGTAACCTTATGGTGCGATTACACTTGGTGGTTAGCCCGATAGTCGAGTACGCCCGTATTCGGATAGTTTTCGTTTTGGTTAGGTACCCGACACCGTCTTCCAGTCCGTATTCCAATGTAAATATTGCTTCTGGTGCCCGAATTCGAGTAATGTCTTTCGTGCACCTGAATACGGGCTAACGACCAAATGTAATTGAGCAATTATTAATCATTTTCGATAGCACAAACATGGAAGACATTAGTGCAGAACCAATCTCAGAAATCCAGTCACAACTCTTTGCTAACTTTATTCAACTTCCAGCAATTAGACAGAATGCTCTCAAAACACAAAAAATTGAACTACTGTAACACCAAATACTACATATTTATAGGTTTATTTCCTTGAAACCTGTGCTAAGCAAAATGAAAGAAAATAAAAATATGTGTAAAAAATTGAAATGCAGTCTTCCTCAAAAATCCAACCTTTCGAGCTCCTAGGACCCATAAAGAAACAGCCTCCTTTGCACTTAGAAGTACTTGCGACTTTGCTGTTCGGTCCGTTGTGAATGCCGTGTCCTGTAATGCACTATTTGTTAAAGCAGATGCCTGTTAATCGCCACTACATGCACACTCTACTCCACACTAGGTGTACAATGTGGTGGGTTAATTTCAACTCATATTACGGTTAATAGTTTTCAATTTTCAAATAACTTTCAGCATAAATAAGAAGTCTGAAATGTTAGAAATATTAATACAGCAAGAAGGAACTAAAATGAATGAACTGTTAAGAATCACATTGAACAAGATCCTTGGATAAATGTTAATTAAGTAAATAATTGAATGCTTGTAAGTAACAATACAAGTGTTTCAAAGGTCACAAAACAGTCTCTGAAGTCAAGGATTGTCTTTCAATGTGATTGCTATTGTTGTTTTAAATGCATGAACATGAGATAACAACACAAACTTAAGAAAATGCTTACTCGGACATTTTCAAGCTCAGTCTGAGTGATCTGCAATTGCTCTAGAAGCTCCTCCACTGACACTCTGCTCACTGGGCCTTGGGACGGACCTGCCTCATCCTGCAAAGAATCACATTTGAAAAAAAAATGTAGGTATATAATGTTAAGCTCAAGTTTGTTGCTACACCCCAATGGCGTCATGTACCACTCACTATTACTATACATGTAATACTGTACATGTGCAATGTGAAATAAATGTTACATCAAATACTTTTTTAACCAACTTCAAGTAAAAAAAAGGTCCTTGTTATTCTATACCAGCTTCAAATATGCAAACCAAATTTCATAAGTGTGTGTATGTTAACGTCTGTAGGTATGTTTGTTCCAACAAAATTAATAAATAAAATGTGTCATGTCTGTACGATTCTGTTTACTGTATCATTAACCTTTATGTTTCACTACAGTACTGGATATCAATAAAATCAATAATTGTTGCAACATTACTGGAATTAATATTCTATTTCCAAAATAAGCCTTACAGAAAGAATATGTATCCTTACCTTTTCTATCTCAAATTTAGCAGCTTGCACACCTTTGTTGTACATTTGCAGGTACATGGAGCGGTGACGGGCGTCTTCATCCTGTAATTGCTTACTAGCCTCTTCCAGCTGCTTCTCCAAACTGTGGATTCTTTCCTTAGCTTGCTCATAATTAGGCAACAACTCACAGTATCTAGTGTTCATGTCTGCCAGTTTTTGCAGCAGTGCTTCTACTTTGTCATTGTGGGTCTGCTTTAGTTCTTGGGTCTCTCCAACATGTGCACGCATCACATCTTCTATTTTTTTATCATAAAATTCAATTAAACTACGCCGTTCCTCCTCACCTTCACAAACATCCGTCATACAAGATATGTCATGGGTTAACATGTGGACAGATTCCTTAGAATGCAAAGATGAATTAGTAAGATCGTCAAAATGCCCTGAATCAGTAAATGAACCTTGCATTTCATTTCTACATCTGGTTGGTGTCTCATCTTTGAATAGAGGGCTATCTGTGATATCGTAATCTCTGCAAGATTTATTATGTTTTGGACTTTCTTGTTCAATAGAAGCATCATCAGCATTTTCTCTTATTGTCACTATTTCACTGGAGTTTGATTTTTCGTCAGGGGAACATATTGATGCTTTGTAAAGACGTAGTTCAACTACTTCTTTGGTGAGGTGAAATATTTCACTGTCTTTTTTCTCTAAATCTTTTTTTGCTTGGCAAAGTAGACTCTTGAGACGGCGTATTTGTTTCTGAGCTCTTTGGGTAGGGGTGAGATAATCTTCTCCAGCGAGTCCAGCATGTGATGAGCAATGCAAGACATATCGCATCGACCTTCCACTAAAAGTGGTGCCATTGAAAGGTGCATAACCAGCATCGATTGATGCAGCTGTAGCAGCACTTCCATAGCTGTGTAGTGACTCATCATCTGGCAGGTCTTCAGGAGATCCAGGTGGAGTATGTGCAGAGTCTGTCATGTTCAACTTGCCATCCAGATCATTCTCCTGCTTCAGGCAACTTTTTCTGGGTTTTTGTTGAGAATTGGAATTGAATGACTGAAAAAAGTATAGTACTTATACAGTAAAAAATTTTACCTTAGTAGGTATACTTTAGTAAGTTTTTAAATAACAGAATACTGCATTTTACTTTCACATGATTTCATATGAATAAACATATTTATAATTTGAAGGTTTGTAGATATGTATACTAATATTATAAAGAGGAAAGATTTGGCATGTTTGTAACGAATAAACTTAAATATTATTAGACAGCTTTGAAAAATTCTTTCACTATTAGAATGCTATATTATCCCTGAGTAACATGGCTATATTTTATCATGTTAAAATAATCATTCACCTATGCAAAGCTGGGGACGAATCACTATTCAGTTCAGGGTCTTGTGTTCTTTTCTATAAAATGACGACATAGCTAATAATGCCGTATAGCATTGCCAGAACAGCAGCACATTAAATATTTAGCGGCCTGTAATACAGCCTTTAAAAAGTGAGCTAACGTCAATGGGGCTGGCTTGGTTTTAGTAGTCATGGTGATACTTCACTTTATATTAATGTCACAGGTTATTAAACTCACGTGACTCCGCTGGCGATGGCCAGGCTCCACGAGGCGAGCCCCATCGCTTCGGTGTTTCTGGTGAGAATTTTCCGTGATTACAGGAATTAATTTTCTCGTTGCAAGAGGCGAACGCTGCACCATTTTTTCACCGCGCAGGCGCAGTGAAGAGGTTCGTCGAAAGTTGCCGACAGCGTTTCCCGCGCAGCAGTGTTCATCGTGAAACTCTGCAGCTCTTCTAGCACCGTAGTTTCTGTTCATTTTCTTCAGAACTTCACATTAACGTAGTGTACTGCAAAAACATAACAGCTGTTTGAAATTCAGCAAAACAAAGCCAACGTGTTCAATGACGTTTGCTATTTTAAAATAAGCCGGTTAAGCCGGCAAAGGATTTTTAATTGTTATGCCAAACTTATTTTTGTACTTAAGTTTATCTTATATAATAGAGTATTTACCATTACTATAGTAGCGGCGTTTCATGAAGTTTCTTATTCTAAATTCGAAATTCGTTCTACATTTAAAAGAAATAATTATTTTCTTCATTATCATTAGAGACGCGCATTTAGTCATATTTATAGAATCGGTAATTTTAGGGTGCAATATTTAAATTTTACAAAACTATATAAAATCATCGTAGACTTTTAATAAGGTTACGAAAATCTTTTCAAAATTAAAAACAATTAAATGTAATTTCACTTTTAATTCAAAAACACCGGCCCTTTGACAGGATGTTATTAGGTACATGAAATTAATAAGATCGCTGAGCGTGAGTAAAAATGTATGTTTTTGTTTTAATCAGAAACTTTTCGCGTCACTATTGCAATGTCTCAAAACGGCCATCATATCGTGCCGCGATTATAGTAATTTATGTATTAATTTAAATTTGATGCCAACACTTAATTATTATAATAGTGATGCTATTTAAAATTATTAGTTATTACATAATTAAAATACAAATACATTTAAAGTAATTATAGTTTGTACGTAGATACTTGATTAAACATCAGTTTAGCAAAAAGAAGAAAGAATTTGAACTTTGGACGATTTTAAAAGTTTACTACAGTAGTTGTTTATACATATATTATTTCAGTTCTGGGTAAATATGCTGGACTCTGAATGAAATAAAATCAGATTTTTTTGTAGTTGGACTTCCAGGACGCCATCAGGTGGGATCCCTAGCTGGCCGGTACGGCGCATTGTGCCGTGCCGGCCACCGAGGGATCCCGTGATGGCAGCCCCCATCTTGTAGTTCTGTCCTGCAAAGAGGGGGGCGGCGGAGGGAGCTACACGGGCACGCCCAAGTAGTCCTCCGCAGCGGACGGGGGGCGGTACGGTGGGCACTAGGCCGCGTATTCTGTCCCCACGCGCGGGCCATCCTGCGCACGTCTGCGGGGTCCCCGCAATACCTCGGGAGACCCCTGCCGTGGAGCCCCGGCAAGGCCGGGAGGCTGCTGGGTGCGGAGACGCGGCAGAATCCTTAAACGGGGATCCCGCGGTTTCGTACTAAGCAGCTTAGAGGGTATTCGCAGGGTTTTTTAGCGGATATTATGCCGTAAAGCGCCCGTAAGAGTTACGAGGTCCTCAGTGGGCAGCCACTGTGGGGGCTCGTAAGGTTTGCGGGAGCCAGGTGTGAGGTCCGTTCCGCGGTGTGCCTTTTTTAAAGACGCCGTCGTCTGTAAACAGAGGTATTGCCTGCGCCACAAAAAAAAAACGACGCCATCAGGTACGCCGGAAACTTAAGTAAATAATAATAAATCTATGGTATGGATGTACGAGTCTCTTGCTGGTTTACCCTTCGGTTATTACATTAGCGAGTTAACTTAAGGTCTTTGTGAGTTAAATTTTTATCATTTTATCAATGACTATGACAGTCATAGTTTGGACAGGGATTTGCCAGTTTAGTGCATCCGATTTCTAAACTCGCCTCTGTACCTACTTACTTACCATTACCAAAGTGTAATACAGACTACTAAAACAAGTTCTATTCATAGTTATATAATATATGGAAGATGCTGTCGAAGTGACATAGCAGGGAGGGCAGGCGGGGCTGTGGCAGAGCGAAGCTTCATCTCCACGCAAAGCCAAAGGGTTAAACTTATCGGAAAGATTCTGGTCGTCGACAATTAAGCCGCTCGACGCTGGATGCGATCCATAGGGAGAAGCTGGTACTGGGGTGCCCCCGTTCAAAGATGAGAATCCATGTGAGGCCGAACCTGCACTTTATTAAGTGGCAGTTACAGTTAGTGGGCCGGTGTGAAGTACCTCCTCGATCTATTGAGCACAATAAGCTTTTTCAAGGCTAATTTGGCCTTGCCATCCAGATGAACTTGAAACTGGATGTCGCTTGATATGTCAACGCCAAGAATACCGATACTAGCTGGTGCAGTAAGGGGAGTGTTCTCAAAAAGGGGGGAGACAAACTATCCTACCTAACTAAACTACCTTTTGGTAATCTTAATTGAGTTTCTATCGGTGAGTAAGTTTCCAGGGTTTAACAGATAGGGGATTGGGTCAAGGTAGGCAATGGCGCGAGTGACATTTTTGGTATCGCAAGCGTTTATACTATAGGCTGATGGTGGTGGTGGTCGCAACTCTTTTAGCATAAAAAACCTACCTACGCAGGTATTGCTACTTACCTACCTAAATAAGTAGTATTTAACAATGACTGTTGTTAGCAAGTGAAATATGTCACATTGTTATAGCGTGGAAAACAATTGGTCCAAATAACAGTTATTCGTTTAAGATTGCTCAAGGAACTCGGTAAAAAATACATTTTCGCAAACGGCGCGGCGTACCTACATAGGTTCCTGAGTGTACCTCTAGGTACTAAATTATAGAACTTACGTAAGAAATGCCTCAGAAAAAATAGTTTAACTGATTCAGGTACATAATTTGAAATTAACTGCGCTTAATACATTCCCAAGCAGCATCACAAGCTGTATAACAGCTCTATTAAAGTTCGTTTATACTCTTAATGCTGTATCTCTTGGCCGCATAAAGGCTGTATAAGCGCTTATACAACCCTTATACCCCTGAAATTGGCACAAATTATACAGCGTTTTGCGTTATATTAGCTGTACAGTAGCTGTATAAGCATAAAATAGGCTGCATAATAGCTGTTTTGCGGCTGTACTATGGTGTTCGAGGAAACCCAATACACTCCAATTACTACATTGTAACTCACTTGTTAAGCTTTACGTTGTAAAAAGTCTGTTGAACAGAGTTACAAAAGAATTAAAACGAAATAGAAGATATATTTAAATGGTGGCGTTTATCATTTTGATTTGATCAAAGTGACATTTATTATAAACGCTTTGTGTTTAAAGATTTGGAGATTCGATAGGCGCAGGGTACAGTGCATTATCGTGCAAAAATAAATTTATTGTGGACATATATATGTTTTGTGATAAAAAATAAACGCGCCAGCAAAATAACCAAGGAAGAGATATTAAATAAGGTAATTAAATATTATTTTTTAGAAATTTCAAAGCAATTATTGTAGATTTGCGTCCTAGAATTTGTAAAGAAATAAATAAAGTGATTCTCATAGTTCATTACTTAAGTGAAAGAAAAGTAGTAGCATTACTTAAGTGAATTGCAATATTTTTATATTTATGCATAATGATTTACTTATATTCTACTGTTTCAATTCTATTACCTTTATTGTAAGCTCTCGCAGGAGAATCGCATATAAAACATCTTATTCCTATAGATACTTTACTCTTGATTTGTTCAACGTACGTTCCATTTTTAATTAGGTTGTCAATTTCGTTTACAAAATCATTTAAATATTCGTCAATTTGCTTTGGTTTTCCAACACCAAAATAAATACCAATCACCAACGCACAGTGTTTTATGGAACCAAAAAAATTTACATGTTCAGGTTCTTACATAAATAGATTATTTATACCCTAAAAAGGCATGAGTTCAATTTACAGAAGTCTAACTCAAATACTTTTTGAGAAAAAAAATCATGAACTTATCGTGACCTTTGACCTATGAAATCTAGAATATTTTTTTATAAAGTAAATATTAATTTTTTTAATAAATATGTGTCAATCGGGCATAATCAGAGGCGTATAAACGCGTTTCTTTAGCTTAAAAAAATGCATTGGTTTGGGAGCAGCATTTTTTTTTTGTATTTCGTATTTATTGTTTTTTCTCCCTAAAAACGAAAAAGTGGAACCTAGAACTTAGATAGAAATAAACCTACGGATGTGGTCTATCATACATAAATAAGCCACGTGTCACTTTTGCGGCGTTTAGAAGATATTAATTTTTAAATTTTTATGCTAGGGTTGACACCGAGTGTTTTATAGAACCAAAAATATTTACACCTTAAGGTTTTTGCATAAATCAATTATTTAAACCCTAATAAAGGCAAGAGTTCAATTCCCAGATCACTATTTTAAGTAAAAAAAAAAGATATGAAGTAGTAAAGTTTTTGAAATTTGCGCATGAAAAAATTAACAATTTAATTTCCTCAAAAGACGGTTCCATATCTGTCCATGAGATATTTGCCACTTGCTAAGGAATTATTGATGGCATAATTTTGTAATTTTATTTTATTTATAAGTGTCCTAGTTTCCAAGAAATATAGTTTTTTTACATTTCGATTTTTAATTTTTTTCTCCAATAATCGGCAAAAGTGGAACCTGGATTTAGTACAGAAAGGTTCTATAAGCCAAGTTCTATCACCCATAACAAAATCAAGTTTCACTTTTGCGGTTTTAAGAAGTTATGACAGTAACAGTTCATAAAATCCTCATGCACGGTGAAGAAATTATTGCGTCCAGTGCACTGCCCATCGGTATGCTATCTGAACAAGCAGCTGAGTCCCGAAATAAATTCTGGCGTTCAGACAGAGAGCATCATTGCCGAAAAATGAACAGGAGAACCACAATGACGGACCTCTTTCACCGTGCCCTAGAATCATCAGACCCGTTTATTTCTATGGCAAATATCAGCCAACGTCGAAAATATTCTAAGCGATTTCCCTTGCCTTCAGCTGTTTGCGAGCTCTTACAACCAATTGATGCAGATCGATTGCCGTTATTCGAAGCAGAGGAAGATGCTGAAGATGAAGATTTTTCGAACGTCGCAAATGAAAGCAACCTAGAATTATTAAACGACGATGATTTATTTGTATAAAAGTTAAAGTAGAGGTGTTGCATAAAGAAGGTGCCGGCAGGTGATGACACTATCCTAGATTGATTTTAAATGTGAATGAATTTCTAAATCCAAAATTTCATCACAATCGTTAGATCCGTTTCCGAGAAACCAATTACATACCAATATATTTATATAGGTACATACAATAATTGCTCGTTTATAGTATAGGATGTGTGTTAAATTTTTTCAAACAACATAGTTTATTTTATCGTTGCCATTTAGCGTGTAAGGCAAAATTAAAATGTGGTCGTCAAAATTAAAACATAAAGTATTCCTACATTATCACATCTACATTAGGTAGGTAGTATATGTAAGTATATTGTATTCGTCTATAAGTACAACACTTATTCAATTATAATATAATATAATTTATTCAACTGATTGACGGTATTAATAACAAAAAAATTTAACATTTTCATTTAACTCATAGTTGACCTTTGTGACAACCCTAGATCATGAAAGTTGACCTTTATCTAAATTCTGCCATAACTTCTTAAAACCGCAAAAGTGAAACTTGATTTTTTTATGGGTGATAGAACTTGGCTTATAGAACCTTTCTGTACTAAATCCAGGTTCCACTTTTGCCGATTTTTGGAGAAAAAAATTAAAAATCGAAATTTAAAAAAACTATATTTCTTGGAAACTAGGACACTTATAAATAAAATAAAATTACAAAATTATGCCATCAATAATTCCTTAGCAAGTGGCAAATATCTCATGGACAGATATGGAACCGTCTTTTGAGGAAATTAAATTGTTAATTTTTTCATGCGCAAATTTCAAAAACTTTACTACTTCATATCTTTTTTTTTTACTTAAAATAGTGATCTGGGAATTGAACTCTTGCCTTTATTAGGGTTTAAATAATTGATTTATGCAAAAACCTTAAGGTGTAAATATTTTTGGTTCTATAAAACACTGTGCAACGGTTCTACATCAGGTCTTTCAAATATAGTACATAAAATCGGCCAAAACTCTTTATTAGAACTATTAAATATTGGAAGACCGTCAAAATTGAAATTCAATCAAATTTTACTCGGAACGTCAACCCATTTTTCTAATATATTTTTTAAAGATTTAGTTAGGCCGCGCCGTTATGCCAATATTCACCTCCTTGAATCGGTTTGATTTGTATTTGCTTTGCAGTACCTAAAATTGTTCTGGCATCGCATGGTAAAATTCCTGGAAATCTTAAGTTTATGATAGTAGCTAAATCATTCAATGCTACTTGAGGTATGTTTCTTTCTCTGGCCCAATTCTGTATTTATTGGCGAAATAATATTTTTTTTTCATATTCACTTTCGCCGTCATTTGAACTGCTGCATGATAAAATGTCATCAGTTGCAGAAGGTAAAGCTAATCTACACCTGATATAACTATGATCATTCACAATATTTTCTACGGAACCCCTTTCATTAGATGTCGACAGTATTGACGCTTGACTGTAGGTGATCTGATCTGTTGCAAAATCTCCATGTTCCTCGGCAGTAATTTCATTTTGTTGATAATTTGTAATTTTTAAATATTCCTGTTCAATCTTTCTTCTAATAGCACCAAATCTTTTTCGCTTTTTCCACATATTTATAAAACAATCACAAAAAACAGCATACAATGCACAATGACTCTGTCACTTATACAAATTAAGGCTGTACTATAGGCGTCATTTATTTTTATTGCTATTTATTACTCTCAAAGACAGAAATAAGACAGCTATCATCTGTAAAAGGGTGTACAATTACACCAAAAAAAGAAGCTGTAGAAGAGAGTTTGCCTACTTCATAATACAGAAATAAGATTTGAGGACCACCATAATTCAGCTCTAAGCTGTATTAAGTAAGTGACGGTATGCAAAATGCAGCTATTGTACAGCTTTAATACTAAAATGAGATTAAAGCGTTACAGGAAACTTAAAGCTTACATGACAGTTAGCATACACTGATTTAGAACTTTAAGCGTACTTTGACTCCTTAATACAGACTTAATACAGTTAGAGCTGAATAATTACTCCTTAACCGACATTATAACATTATAATGTCTTTTCAACGTTCTTATACAGCCGTAAAACAGCGTTAAGTGCTATATTGGCTGCTTTTTAGGTGTTCATTACGCTTGGTTGCTGCTTGGGTTGTGTAATTATAATGTTGAAAAAAGTTAATGCAGACCTATTGTGGTAGTCGTAGAAGAGAAAAAAAAACTTATTCGATGCATTATGGAAACGGAATTCTATTAAAATGCTGCCACTATCTGCCAAAGGGCATCTATCTGTCTTCTAAACGGAAATAGAGAAAATCCTGGAAATATTCACAGAATGTGAAAAATTCACACACAAATAATGATAAAATGAAGTCAATCGAATCATAGTTGAAATGTGATTTTCTCAACTTGTTTTGCTTGCACTTGGTTAGTTTTTAATTAAATTTAAGATATTAGTTAATATAAAACTTAATACCGGACTAAAAGAACAAATAATATATCTATCGTGCCTAGGTCCACTTAAAAAAATACTTAGTAGGATAAGTAATGTCCTTCCATACTTATATTTCTACGAATATAATAAGTCATTTAATTTTGTTACATGAGTATATTTATTTTCACCATGAACCTAAGAAATGTGTGACGCGTCAAAAAATTGTTTTATTAGCACCTAAGTACCTTTGTCATAATGTGTTTATACACAGTCAGGTCATAAGTATTGTCACACAGTAAAAACTTTTTTTTTAGAATGCTGGCTACAAAAAAGTTTATTGAATTCGAATTTCAAATTGTTCATGAAAATAAAAATGTATACTTTTTAGAATTTTACTTATTTTTAAATATGGAGTGGACGCATATAGAAGACCGTGTTGCAGTTATTGCGTTGCATCGTTACGATTACGCGCCAATTCAAATTTTTGCCATACTGAAAAATTTAAATTGTATTATAAAATATTCGTTTATCGTACCATCAAACAATACAATGAAGACTCTAGTGTAGATGTAGACAGGTCAAGAAGTGGTGGCCCTCGGTCTGTTAGGACTCCAGCAGTGATAAAAGCTGTCAAGGCGCGAATTCAAAGAAATCCCAAACTTAAGCAGAAACTGTTGGCCTTTCAGATGGGGTTGAGCAGAACCACGGTGAAAAGGGTGTTAAATGAAGACTTAGGGCTTCGGGCATATCGAAGAAAAACAGGATATCGTTCGAATGCTCGTCTAATGGACCTGAGACTAACGGGAAATTCTTTTTTCGGATGAAATATTTTTTACCGTAGAAGAGAGCTACATCAAACAAAATGATAAGGTGTACGCACACAGTAGTGAAGAAGCGAGGACACGATTCCGCGCGTCCAACGAGGTCATTTTCCATCCTCGCTCACCACGGTATGGTTGGGAGTTTCTCATTGGGGCTTAACAGATATACATTTTTGTGAGAAAGGTGTAAAAACGAGTGCAGTTGTGTATCAAAATACAGTCCTGACGAACAACCTCGTGGAACCTGTTTCTCATACCATATTCAATAACGGGCACTGGGTATTCCAACAAGATTCGGTGCCAGCTCATAGAGCGAAGAGCACACAAGACACTGGCGGCGCGTGAAATCGACTTCATCCGGCACGAAGACTGGCCCTCCTCCAGTGCAGATTTGAGTCCGTTAGATTACAAGATATGGCAACACTTGGAGGAAAAGGCGTACTCAAAGCCTCATCCCAATTTGGAGTCACTCAAGACATCCTTGATTAAGGCAGCCGCCGATATTGACATGGACCTCGTTCGTGCTGCGACAGACGACTGGCCGCGCAGATTGAAGGCCTGTATTCAAAATCACGGAGGTCATTTTGAATAAACTTTATTGTCATAAGAATCTATGTTTTTTAAAGTTCATTTTGGTATATAAATGGTTACATAATGAATAAAATTGTTTCAATTATTTTATATTAAACATGTGACAGAATTTATGACTTGACTAGGTATTTAGTTATTTTTAGTTAATAAACGTGCCTTTTCGTCTGTTTTTAAACTACTTACACGTTAGTCAATGGAAAATAGACATCAAACTTAAATGCATTTTATAGGTGCTCAAACCTGGTCATTTTAGGACGTCTGAACATGAGAATGTCCTAAATTTAATTCATTTATCTACAGAAAAAAATTAACAATATTGGTGGACTTACGGTAAAATTGCGATACCGTTTAATAAATAACATACATTTTCGCATTTAAAAATTACGCGCTCAGCAAATTGTTGTGTACGAACAGTTTCTGAAGGAATTTTGTCTCGACTTGAGCGATAATAAGTACTTAGACGATTTATTACAACATTACGGTTGTGCAATATAGCAAGAAACTCTTGGTTGTTGGTTTCAGATTATTGCGCGAACGCACAATCCGTAGAGAAGGAAGTATTGCTCTTGCTCCACTTAAAATTATGGTGCGTTGCGTCGTATTTTTCCCCGACTGCGCGCATTCTTTTTACCCGACTGCGCGCATTCAAGCAGCGCGAAGCGCGAAGCGCACGTGCAAACAAGGTATTGTGTTCAACAGTCTATATATGTATGTATGTTCCTGGCACCGATTTGATGATTCTGATGACCTGGCTGTTTATGATAATTACACTATTTTTGTGACATTATAGTAAAAATTTGATCCATTCTAGAATATCTAATGGGTCCCGACTGCTAAAGTAGCTTTGTTCCTTACTTAACAGAATTAAAGACTACTGGACTTGTTTTTTTCTTTTCAGTTTCAATTTAAAGTAATGTTTAAGCAGTCAGGTATTTGTTTTCTTTTAAATACATAAAAAAGTAAAGATTATTTGAACCTGTAAAGTGAAAATATTAGAACGCCTTCAATCGACATATAAGAATTAAGACTGCGCTGCAGCGTGTGCGATTTAGTTATAGTTCAGTAGAGTTTAATTAATACCGCCATATACTTACGTATATGGGTGAATCTTGAGAGGCTCAATTTTCGCTGCCCGGAGGAAAAAAGTACCAAGGATCTCAAAATATTTGTTTTATACTACTATAATGTATGATCTAACTACGATGCACGATGATTATTGTGCCTTATTAAGGTAGGAATAGTAAAAAGATGTCCTAAACGACAAATACGACATCCCCTCGCATGTCCGCTTCACATTTTTTGAACAAACTTCCAGCAAAACATCAACAGCACAGTTTTATTAACGGATATTAAATATATGATGACGTTTAAGCTATCGCAAAGTAGT